GAGAGAATTGGCTCCTGCAAGTTGTCCTCTGAGCATGCACACACACAATTCATGAGTAAATGTAAAAAAAAATTAAATATACATATGTCCCAAAAGAAACATAGCAACTTTTTTAGATGGAGGAATATAGCATTTTTTTGTGTGCTTTATTTTTATTTTTTGTCTTTTTGAGACAGGGTCTCCCTGATTCCACCTGCCTCTGCTTCCTGAGTGCTGGGAATAAAGTCATGCACCACCATGCCTGATTAATGTTTTGATGTATGTCTTTGCTAATTAGAAAGGAACAAAATGATACTTTAAAAATTTTCATAGACAAAGACAAAGGAACCAGCTTGAAGGGTACCTACTAGTTAAATCTGGGACACTTTGAGCATCATAAAGAATAATGATGGAGCCGGGCGTGGTGGCGCATGCCTGTAGTCCCAGCACTTGGGAGGCAGAGGCAGGCGGATCTCTGTGAGTTCAAGGCCAGCCTGGTCTACATAGTGAGTTCCAGGACAGCTGGGGCTACAGGGAGACCCTGCTTCAAACAAACAAACAAACAAACAAACAAACAAACAAACCAGCTGCAATGAGGAAAAAAAAAACTTTAAAAAAAAAAAAAAGAATAATGATGGTTGGGCCTGGAGAGGGTTATTGAAGCTCAGGCTCACAAGCAGAAAGAAAGGAATAATGATGGCACTGGTGCAGTCCTGTAATCCCAGCCCTTGGGAGGCAGAGGCTGGCAGATTTGCCACAAGTATGAGGCCAGTCTGATCTGCATAACAAACAAGGAAGTGTAAACCATAGGTTGGGAATGGTGGTGCAGGCCTGTGACCCTAGCACTTGAGAAGCTGAGGCAGGAGGATTGTGCATTCAAAAGTAGTTTGAGGGGTGGAGACATGGCTTAGTAAGAACACTTGCTGCTCTTCCAGACGACCGGAGTTCGATTCCCAGCACCCAGGTCAGGTGGCTCACAACTGCCTGTAACTCTATCTCCAGGGGATCCAACAGTATCTCCTAGACTCTATGGACAGCCACACACACATGTGTGGAATAGTCAAGCTGACACTGCCTTGTAACCAAGTGTCCATACAGCAGAATGGGGCAAAGTGTAAGTCACGAAGAGCCAAAAAGGAATAAGGATTATACATGAAAAGAAAAATTCATTTTTGAAAATGTTTAATAAAAACAAACCAATGAATGGGCAACTTAGCGGAAGGACAAGTGAAACCAAGTTTAGAAGGGATAGCGAATCTGTGGCCCGAAAGAAAAATAATCTTAAACCAGTTTCCATAGCAGCTTAGTATACACACAAGAGAAGTGTTGTTTTACTCTGAATATAGCTTTTATTAGACTAAATATTTATGAAAAAATCTGAAAACTTTGCAGTGTTGATCAATATCTATAAAACTGGAGGAGAATAAAATGTGCATCTGTGCATTCCAGCTCTACCTTTTCATTCTTTTCTAACGTGGCTTTATCATTGTAGTGGAGATTAGGGCTTGGGCGCGTGGTCTGACCTTTTCGGGTGGAGTGTTGGTAGAGTCTGGTGAGCATGTCTCCTCCAGCCTCTTACTGCTTCTCCCATCTTTCATTACTTTGTTTTCTGTGTTCCCAATTCCTTCAAGTGGAAACTGTTTTCTATCCCTTCAATGCAGAGCAGCAAAGTGACTTGTTTTGCCTAACACTATATAATGATGGAATCCTAAGAGCATCCACTCACACACACACAAAAATGCCCTCTGTGAAGGGGCCTGTTTAATGTCCCCAGGGACAATGAGCCAAGGACAGCTAGCCCACCAGAGGCCCACAGGAAGCTTAGACTCTTTGCCCCTCATGTGGTCAGGTGACTGTAGCTGCGTGAGGGACACCAGGTAAGAGCAGAACTGTCCAGTTGATCCGAGCTCAATCTGCACGCCCCCAACTAATTTCTTTTTCCACACGACAGACTTTCCAGATGTAGTGACTATCAGGAACCATCTTATTTGTTTTCACTGCCCCCTTTGATGATCCTTGCTTCTCTGATGTGGTTTCCATGGTTTGTGGACTTTTTATTTACCCAATCACTCTTTGGACTTCTTCCACTTTGTCAAATTTTTCTTTAAAATTTGTGGCATTCAGAGTTAAAGCCAGCGTTTAAATACGACTTACCACATTGAAACCTTAGTGTCTTTGCTCATTTTCCCCTGAATTCCTTCATTCTTAAGTTCCCCTTTTCCTATTCTCTCCCCCAAGAGGTAAAAGTTGCCTCAACTCTCAAGGTCCAAGCTAAATGCTCTCTTTTGCAGTGTTTTCCTTGTCAGAATTTGGTATATATGATCCAAATTCTCTTAGTGTTTTGTTGGCACAGCTTCCCCCACATGTGCCATGCAAGCTCTGCAGGGGCCTGGCTCCTTGTCCAGGTCAAAAATTCTTTTTTTTGATCTTTTTGAGACAGGGTCTCCCTGTAGCCCCAGCTGTCCTAGAACTCACTATGTAGACCAGGCTGGCCTTGAACTCACAGAGATCCGCCTGCCTCTGCCTCCCAAGTGCTGGGATTAAAGGCATGCGCCACCATGCCTGGCCCTCTTTTTGTTTTTTTAAGATTTAAAAACATTAAAAAATTTTAAATATTTTTTTTTAAATTTTATGAGTGTTTTGCTTCCATGTATGTAAATGTACCACATGTGTGCAATACCCTCAGAGACCAGAAGAGGGCATCAGATCCCCTGGAAGTGGAGTTGCAGATAGTTGTTAGCCACCATGTGGGTGCTTAGAACAAAACCTGGGTCCTCTGAAAGAGCAGTCAGTGCTCTTAACTGTTGAAACATTTCCCTAGTCCCAAGATTTATTTTTAAATTATATGTGTGGGTATGTACATAAGTACAGGTGCCTGTGGAAGCCAGGGGCATCAGATCCTCCAGGAGGTGGAGTTACAGGTGGCTGTGAGCTGCCCCACGTGGTTGCTGGGAATTGAACTCAGGTCCTATGGAAGAACAAATGTTCTTAACTACTGTGCTATCTCCTCACCACAAGAAATTATTGAAAATAGCTAGTTTTTGTGTTGTAGCACTTCATGTAACACTGGGCACATGTTCATAACTCAATAAGGGTTTAGTAGGTTGGCTAGGTCTTTGACATTAAAATATATTATCTCATGGCCTCTATTTTCTCACAAGCCAATCAAGGACTGTCAGGTTGTTGTCTAAATCAAGATATATCTGTTGGATTCCATGTGTGCCACCAATAGTCTGTTAACAAAATGTACTTACTTTGAAATTATTTTGAACTATGCTATCATGCTTTTTCAGAATAATTTTGGCAGAGATATTTGCTTGCTGTTTCTGGCCTCTGTATTTACTGACATTTGAAAGTGGAAGCTTTGGGCTGGAGAGATGGATCAGTGGTTAAGAGCACTGACTGCTCTTGCCAAGGACCTGGGTTTGATTCCAAGCACCCACATGGTGGCTAACAATCATCAGTAACTCCAGTTCCAGGAGATCCAATGCCGTCTTCTGACCTCTGTGGGCATCACATGACACTGGTGCACTTACACACATGTAGGCAATACACTAATACGCATTAAAAAGAAAATTAAAAAAAAAGGAAAGTGGAAGCTTTTACTTTTTTTCCATCTCTCAATCCACCCGAACTTTCATAGTCCCATGCACTCTGGTGCACTGTTTCTGTGGCATGCCAACAGTCTGGGTGGGTAAATTATTACTAACAAAGTAACAGTCCTGAACATTTGTTAAGCACCTTACTCTTTATTAAATGTTTCCATACTATGCCTCTTTTGAGGCTCTGTGTAATAGGTAGTAGTTCTCTGCATCATATAATTGAGAAACCAGTTTAGTGAGATGTCACCATGGTTGTAGGGTGGAAGCCTCAAGATTAAACCCAACCCTGACAAAGTAACTCAAGCTGCTTGTTATCCGAGACTCTACATTCTTGCTGAATTAAAATAATCCATCTCTACTGAAAACAAAAACTGAAAAAGAAAAGGAGCGCAGTACTCGGCCTCTGCATTTCTGTTTCCCACCCGCTTTGGAAACACTCTGACCACAGCTTTGGGTCTTCCATTCACTATCTGACCCTGTCAGGTGTTGGTTATGCCGCTGTGGCTGCAGGGCAAAGGGAAAGACTCTGGGTCAGTGTCCGGCTTTGCTGCTTTCCAGCCTTGCTAGATGATCGGCATCGGTGTTTGCTTATAGATCAGGAAAGGCACTGACCCAGCCACTACTTGGTTTATCACCTGTGAGAAAATAGTGCAATTCCAAGTGGAAACATTTCTTTAGAGGTTATTTTATACAGAGTTTAATGCCGCTTTTCTATTTTGTTGCTTTAAAGGTGGCGCTCCATGATGTTTCTTTTTTCCTGCAGTATTTTCATATTTAGAGCCAGAGTGCTAGAGATGAGGCTTGGGGGCTATTGGGCTCATGTCTTTCCTTCTCTTATGCTTTTCCATTTGGTTTAGGTATTGTTAGAACATAAATGTTGCCTAAGAGGGTAGCTCACACACATCTCCTTTATCCACATTTCATACCTCAGCAAGAACTAGTTTCTCAGATGGGTCCTTACAGAGACCAGAGCTCCGAGGAATGGGACCCAGGACAGGTAAGAGTTTAGGGGCCAAGGGAAGGGCTGCAGCGTGGGGCCATGGTGCCCACTGGGAGGTCTGGGAGGGTGCTGGTGCCTTGGAGAGGAATGGCCCTGGTAACTGATATCCCTCAGGAGACAGTCACCACACCCTCTGCCCACACCTTGGTGTTTCAGCAGTTAGTCCTGGGTGCTGCTGGAGGCAGTGGCCATGACCAGTGACCTCTTACTGTCAAGGGTTGGCAACATGCACAGATACCTCCCAGTCTTCTCCTGCCTGCTGTTGAGGAGTGATGACTTCCAGAGATAACCAGTTCTCTTAAGTGAAGTTCTGGTGATCCCAGAATTATAATTTGCTATATGTTGAATGGAAAGAACTATTTTCCCCATGATTGCGTATAATAAAAAAAAAATCCCTTTTTCGTTTCTCCACTTTGCAGACAGTTGCAGCATGACTTCCCCAGGGCCCTGATTTTCAGCACCGATGATTTTTTCTTCAGGGAAGATGGTGCCTATGAGTTCAACCCTGACTTCCTGGAGGAAGCTCATGAGTGGAACCAGAAAAGAGGTGACAAATTCCTTTCCAAACTCCTGGGAAACCCTGTTGTGCATAGATTGTAGCAGTTTCAGAATGAGTAAGTTTTATGGAAGGAGCTTAATCAGAAGTTCTGCCACAGAATGGCAGAGCATAACTTTAGATTCTAGGAAAAAGAAAATGACCAATAACAGGTTCTGCAATAGGTAGCATTTAACTGTAAGCACATCCTGTAATGAAAATGACAAAATGTGGATGACGCCCACCTTGCTGACTGTTGCATGTTGTTCACTGTTCTGTAACATTGTGTTGCAGCAAGAAAAGCAATGAGGAATGGCATATCCCCCATTATTATTGATAATACCAACCTGCACGCCTGGGAAATGAAGCCCTATGCTGTCATGGTAGGAAGAAGTATCATTCTGAATTTTCAGTTATGGACGTTTGTGAGAAAGTTCAAATATCTGTTCTTTTCTCCTTTTCTGATCTTCCATGATTTCATACTTACTAACAGAGTTCTCTCGGGGGCAGGTACAGTTGTTTTGGTGTTTTTCTACTGTTTAATGAGGTAGCTGAGGGGCCTTCTTACCACAGGGGGCAATGTTTAAATAGTCCTCAGTAAATAAATAGTACTTGGATTGGACTCTCGTTGGCTTTCCAGTCTCTGCTGTTCTGTCCAGAAGAGCACCTGCTGAAGCTTGCAGGGAAACACTGGACTAAATAATGCACTCACAGGGTTACAGAGCACAGGGGGCCAGGTCTGCCTGTAGCAGGCTGGGGGTTTCACCATTGTGCCACTGCTGCCTGAGCTCCAGGGCAACAGAAGAGGTTAAAAACTGATTTAGGATTAACAGTGGAACCCTATTTAAGGCAGAATACAAATATAAATGCACAACTCAGCTGGCGTTGTTTTGTTTTTTTCAGACTTGTATCTTACACTAACAAGTTTCATTCCACAGAGTGGGGCAGGAAGCAGACAGCTACTCGAGTTACACCTGAACCCCGCTTGCAGTTGTGAAATATCTCCTATACAGTTTATTTTTAGGGCTCTCTTCACATTTGGGCAAAATAGCATAGCTACAGGTACGCTTTGGTCTGCTGATGCTTTTAGTTAGCTCTACTTAGCCCAGACTCTGGGACTTGGAGAAAGAGCATCAACTTTGTGAGTATTTCCATTGACATTCAAGGCCCTTGAGAGGAGCAGGGGTCTGAAGAGTTGCACCAATGCAGGTGCAGCCTGAGCTAAGGAGCATCTGACAGAGGCTTCTATGAAGTTGGCTCCCTTCTCGTGTTTGGATGTATAGCCAACCAAAACTCTTAATGAGACCCAATAATCAGATGTTCTTAAGATATGCTAGCTGAATTCTTTTCTGAATAGTTAAAAAAAAAATGCCCATCCAAAGAAGAGGAAACTTAAACATGGAGTACAGTAAGCTGTTTTGATAAATGTATTCATGATTGACTCATGATAGATACTTAGGTTATTTGCCGTCTCATATTATACCACTTTCCTGTGACAAAAGCATTCAGAATTCTCTCTTCTGGCTATTTTGCTTTATATGGTATACTATTAACTATAACCACCCTTTGGTGTAATAGTACACCAGAACTTATTCATCTTGTCTTCTTATGAGGAAATTTTTTTGCTTATTAGCTTATTTCTGTATTTTATAACACAGTAAACACTAACGATAACAGAAGGTTCAGTTTGAATAGTCAACTTATGAGTGCACAGAATATTTAGACGTTTAAATGGGACTGTGCTAGTTTTCTAAACAGAAATGGAGCACAGTTCACTGGATCAAAGCACTGCATAGCAGGGGACCTACTTTTGCAGGAAAGATTGTATAAAACATGTGGAAATCACTTTTATTTCATAAGTGGCACTCTTATAAACCAAGGCAGGAGAAACAGGACAAAGCGTTTGACCAAGTAAGCCCATTGATAATCACGTAAGTGACTTTGGGAATTCACCAAGTTCATTGCTCACACCTGTGTGTGGATCATTTTAACATAAGTTCAGTGAACGTCTTTGAGGACTCAAATTCATACTAGATAAAACTGATCAAAATTTGCCATTGGGAAGTATAATATAATGTGAGATTGGCTAAATATGGGAACAAAATGCAAGGTAGATTAAGGCACCAGATTACTGATAAAACAGAAGGAAGCTTAGGATTTGTAGTGAATGTTAAATGGAGCATAACCATTCCCAAACATACATACCATGTCTTCAATGTTTTATGTACTTTTGAAAAATCAGGCACTTGAAAATAACTATGAAGTTATATTCCGAGAACCTGACACTCGCTGGAAATTCAACGTTCCAGAGTTAGCAAGGTACTGCTTTGCTTTTCTAGTTCCTCATTATGTATCCTGCTGTTTTCAGGTATTTCAGACCGAACAAAAGAATCTTTTCAGGCTGGAAATGGACTGTAGTTTTCAGGCCAGAAATGGTAATTCTTGGAAATTGATAACTTTGGAACTATTAATGTGAAGACTTTAGTTTTGAGTTAGTTGTCTAATATAATGCTAACTGCTGATTCTTGGCTTGGATTTGGTCCTTTAAAAGGGCACACTTAATGTTGTGCTAAATTGCTTCTTCATTAATGAGCATTTAAAAGCACTTTCCTCTGCATGGGATGCACATGTCAGTGGCATTTTTGCATTAGGCCAAATAAAGATCTTTGGATGTTGAGCGGTATGCAGTTCATTTATGGTCCAGGTGCTGCTTCTAATTTAAAAGGCAGTAGATGTCTAATACTAACTTGGTTTTGAATGCATGACTTCTGAGATTTACACTGTGTTAATGGATGTCAATGTCAGTGACTTGCAGCAAGTAACCAGTGAGATCAGAATCCACCTTTTAGGAACAAGGCTAGTCCTTTATGTATTTAAGCAGATAACATTTCCAAAGTCTGAGTCGTGGATCACCCCCTTAGGATTGCCTGCAGTGGTTGTTAAACCCAACATAGTTCATGAACTATATTCTGTGACTGTAATCTTGTCAATTAAATTTCTAACCATATCCCCACTTGATACTTGTGCCATCTAGAATTTAAGATTGCTTTTGTAAGCATCTCTTAATAGTATCAGGAACTGACTGACCTAAATTGATGATAGATATATGCATGCCATTAACAGGTATATGACGAAATACATGATTAAAAATATCTCATGGTGTTCATTACTGTCTTGATATACATAGTCAACATTATCAGAATGAAAGCATTTCTAAAGCCAGCCTCAGGCTGGTATAGGGGTGTGCAGGGCAGCATGAAAAATAGGATGGAAAGCTATCTGAATAGCAGGACAGTATGCTTTTGCCAGTCATGTCTTAAGGATAGAGTGACATTTATGCAGTGTAGGATTTGTAAAATAAAAACTCATTTTGATGTCCTGCTTTAACTAAACATTTGTATTTTCTTCCTCATAGAAGAAATATTCATGGAGTCTCAAGAGAAAAAATACACCGAATGAAAGAACGGTATGAACACAATGTTACCTTTCACAGTGTACTTCATGCAGAAAAACCAAGCAGAATGAACAGAAACCAGGACAGGAATAATGCCTTGCCCTCCAATGGTGCGGGATACTGGAATACCTATGCAGCGCTTCCAAGGGCTCATGGTGGCTTCGCAAACGAGAGCTCCTTTAGAAGGGGTGGTTTTCACCACAGATATTAGTGGCCTATTGTACAGCCATTCAGAACTTTCCTAAATGAGTTTTTACTTCAACTTTGGTATTTATTCTTGGTTTAGTTTTAGTCAGAGCTCTAATTCCAGTGTAAATAGTCAAGCCCAGAAGTTTCTGAAGAGGTCATTATATTCATTACCTCCAACAAGCAATGCTAGCGTGTACCCACATACACGGTCTGATGCTGGGAGTTCTGCAGACTGGGGAAATTCTCTAGGAAAGAATTCATTTGAAATTGAAATCTAAGATTATCAATTAGTTGCATAGATTCATACATAAAACAAGGTGTTTATAGGTAAGCAACAGTACTGCTTTGAAGTAATCCATTATTTTTTTAGGAAATTCATCTTCTCCATAGAAGTTGGCAAGGTTGGGGGAAGCAAAGGTGTGGGAAACATCTTAGTGCCATTGCTACTTTGTTAATCGGTGTCTAGAAACCCAAGTTTGTCACTCTAATGACGCTAATATGTCAAAAAATATAAAGTGAACATTTGGGGAAAGTTATTCCTACATTTTAATGATGTACCACTGTTAAAAATGCCTGTTGAATTCCTAATAACTAAGGCAATTAAGAAGAATCAGTGCCATTAAAAATCAAACCCTGTGCTCAGCTACTTCGACAGGATTAAACTCTACTTTGGGCTGCTGCCTAACAGTGTAAATAAATCTGCTTTCATAAACACCAGTTTTTAAGAGGAATAATCAAGCAATTTCTAAAATTATGTGTATAACATGTATAGCTGGTTAGCAACCCATATGTTTGGGAGCATAAGTTAAGCAGCCCAGGATATAAATCATGCCTTAGTATGTAAAAGGCATACTCACTGAAAGATGAGCAGTCTTGTTTTATGTGGTGTTGAGACAATAAACTATGGAGTGCCCTTCGTATATCAGTAATGCATTTATGAATACAAATTAAATCCCAACAGGTTGGAATCAGATTAATTTGGTATGAGACTGTGACAAGACCATGTGGGACATATCTCTATTTTTGCCAACAGCTTCTTTCTAATGTTTTGTGAAATATTATTTTGTGTCTTATAAATGGTGCTTTTATGGTTATTAAAATTATATATGGTATTACGTTTATGATTTCTCATTGAGTTTTTTTTTATTTAATAACAAAACATTTACCCAAATCCAAGGACTTCAACTATAAAACCTTTTCTTTATAAGTGTATTCACCAGTCATATTTAATAAATATTAAAATCTGAACACATAGGTCTATTTACCATTCCATTACCTAGCACTATTGAAATCAATTCAACACCTCCAAGACTACCAGCAATGCATTGTAATTTTTTTTCCTTAGCATTTTCAAAATTGGTATTTCCTTTGAATAACAAAGCTCAGCTGATGAACCTAAGAATAAATTGGAATAAATCTATTACAGTTTTGTTAAATTCTACATGTTTGGGCACAATACACAGTATTCTGTAATAGTTCACTCAGTACTACTTTTCCAGGCCCAGGTAATTGTGGGTATCATAGTCTGTAAGCTCCCTACAGAACAACTTCAGTATGTATGGCCTAGGTGGGCAGAGGAGGGATGTTAGCATTCAAATGGCCAGATTCAAGTTCCTCAATTTAGGGCTTTGGATCCAGAGCTTTTACAGAGCTTTCAACATTTCCTGCCCAACTTGTCTCTTTTTTTCCTAAATGTGAATACCAAAATATTTGATCTGGGGGCATAAAAACAACTAATTTAAGTGCTACCACACTTACCCCATTTAGAAGCGATTTGTTCTCTTCCTTTCAACTCCTGTGGCTTCTGATTTATATAACCTCTTGATAGTCCATCACCAACTTGCATTACTGTATCACTGCTTGCATTATCCATAGAACTGGCAAAGTGTTCTGCAACACCATAGGCTCGCATTAAGAATAAACACAAAAGCGCATGTCTTTAATTCTAGCACTTGGGAGGCAGAGGCAGGTGGATCTCTGTGAGCTCAAGGCCACCTTGCTCTACATAGTGAGTTCTAGGCCAGCTGGAAGTAGAGAGCATGTCTAAAAAAGAAAGAAAGAGACAAACACAAAATCCTTTTGCCATTTATCCCTGATCATGCAGTATACATTGTTGACTTTAATTGCTGTCACTTTTAGGAGGATAATATACACACGAACTCAAGCTTCATACTGTGTGTAGCTTGGATGTTTATAATCTATATAAAGGGTGTCTGTATTAGCTGTCTATAAACAGAGACGGTAACAGCATTTTTGCTAGGATTCAAAAGAAAAAAGGTTAAATTTTTACACATATAATTCTCCCTGTTCATGTGAAACTCTAGTTTTATTCTGTTCTAGAATAGGTCTCTGGGACAATGGTTAGCATGTGAAGGCTAAATTATTTTATGAACAAAATTTAAATCACTAATAAGACTAGAACAGTAAAACAAAACAACAAAACCAGTGAGGCTGAGGATGTAGTTCAGTGGTAGAGCATTTGCCTAGTCTGCACAAGGTGCTGCCTTCCACTCCCTTCCACAATTTCAGCAGAACAGAGTAAAGTTATGTTAACACTTTTTGGGGGGAGATAAGCCATGGATCATAGTTGAGGAAACAAGTTTTTTTTTTGGTCTTTTTGAGACAGGGTCTCCCTGTAGTCTGAGCTATCCTGGAACTCACTATGTAAACCAGGCTGGCCTTGCACTCACAGAGATCTGCCTGCCTCTGCCTCCCAAGTGCTGAGACTACAGGTGTGCACCACCACACCTGGCTAGAAATATATTTTAATTAGACTTAAAAACATATTGCATGTAAGTTTAGGATCCATTAAGGATCTAAGAGCTTCGTGCTCTTAGCTATGTATTAGAACTGCTCCATCCCTTTTCTCTATTAAGTATCTGCAGCTAACAAATGAGAGCATCACTGAAGTTCAGTTTGTTACCATCTGCTTTGACAGTGGGTATAACATCCCAGGTCCTGTGACAGAGCTAAAGACAAATCAGTGCCTTTGAAAGCATCTTACAAAGATGTATCTGGACGATCATTTTGTTTTTTAAAAAATGCAACTCTATGGAATCTGCTTCTGACTTGAAAGTATTTGAATTTATTTTTATGTGTGCACATGCATATGTGGAGGTCAGCCGACAAACAACTCAGGTGTCCTTCCTCAGCCACTTTCCACCTTTTGTTTGAGATAGGGTCTCTCACTGGCCTGGAGCTTTATCATGCAGGCCAGGCGAGCTGGCATGTGAGCTTCCAGGGATCCATTCCTGCTTTTCACCCTGCCATTATTGGGACTGCAGGTGCATGCCACAATGCCCAGCTTTTTAAATGTGGGTGGGGATCCAAACTCAGGTTCTCACATTTGTGTGGTAAGCACGTTATCAATGAAGCCATCTTCACAGCCCCTTGTTTTACTTTTTTTTGAGGCAAGGTCTCATGCAGCTCAAGCTGGCCTTGAACTTGCTATGTAGCAAAGGATGATCTTAAACTCCTAGTCCTCCTCCCTTTGCCTCCCAAGTGTTGGGATTCTAGGTGTGTATCACCATGCCTGGCTGGATTTCTAACTGAAATGATTTAATTTCAGAGAGCATACAAAGGGGTTACTTTGAAAGTTCATTTTTTTTTTAAAAGTATTTTATTATTTTTATTTTATGTGTATGAGTGAATTGCCTGCATGTGTGTAAGTGCACCTGTGTCGTGCACTGCCCATGGAGGTCAGAAGAAGGTGTCAGATCCCCTGGAACTGGAGCTACAGATGGTTGTTACCCATGATGTGGGTGCTGGGAATCAAACCTAGGTCCTCTGTAAGAGCAGTCAGTGCTCTTAACTGCTGAGCCATCTCTCCAGCCCCAAAGGTTCTGTTCTTATAGCCATGCTGACATAAGGATGAAGAACTGGTCAGAAGAAAACACCACTGTAATATCGCTATTCATCCTGACTTTTGAACAGGATGGAACTCTAGCAGAACCAATACATGCATTAAAGACGACTATCTCATATGAGTTACCTATTGAAAAAAAAAGAACAACCTTCAAAAATGGGGACTAAACTAAAAGGATCAAGTCAAAGTAATTGTACTTAGAAACCTCACTGCAATTAAACAATGACACAAACTAAAAGCAAAAGGTATGTTTATTTTGCATATAAAATACTAGTTGTAATGATCAAATAATCATAAAGATTTATTTTTTATTTTTTGGTCTTTTTGAAACAGGGTCTCCCTGTAGCCCCAGCTTACCTGGAACTTGCTGTATACACCAGGCTGACCTTGAACTCACAGAGATCCACCTGCCTCTGCCTCCCAAGCACTGGGATTAAAGGTGTGTGCCACCATGCCCGGCACAATCATAAAGATTTAAACAAGATTTTTTAAATTATTTAATATACAGCCAGCTTTAAAGATACACAGTTAAAATAAAATTGTACCAATATAAAACCAGGCAAAGAACATCTGTATGATTCACAAACATAAGTAAATCTAAAGTTATTTTGTGTCTTGTCACACAAACATTTATATGTAGTTTGAAATTGGACAAATCTCACAAATTGGGAAGGCTCAATAATTTCTCTGTCATGTCCGTTCCTTTTGCCTTTGCAATACCTGAGATACTTTCTTTAATGTATTTGGGTCCTGCGTGCTGGTCCTACCCTTCCTCTGTGCTGGCTTGGGAGCTCTCTTGTACTCTGAGCAGAGGGGTCATATGATGATCTGAATTGGAAGAGGTCCTTGTGGACTCACTGAGAGACAGACATTGATTGTCTCCCACCGAAGTAGATACAAGGGCCTGGGTATTTAGCAATGCAAGTTCCTCATCAGCTATTGAATCACGTTCCAAAAGAGAAATCTGATTGGCTTTTTTAAGTGGAGTCATCCGAGGAGAACTGGATTCTTTCTTCTTTATAGGTGTTTCATATTTGGTGCCACAACTCCGTGGCGGCTGAAATGCCTTCTGTGCAGCTGGAGAGACAAAGGTACAGATGGGACTGACGGGGGGAGGTAAAGGCAGTCGACTCAGGAAATCCAGTGCTTTTCTTTTTCTGCAGTTTCTTGGGTAGTCAAGCTCTCTCTCCCCTTTACAAGACTTTGAGGCCATTTGGGGTGATACAGGTACCGACACAGACTTGTCTTTTGGTGTACACTGTGATAAAGGACTGTGATGACTGCGCTCACAGTTAGGAGAAGACCTCTAACAAAACAGAAAAGGAGCCCATCATAAATATGGACTCATCCATTCTTAGTGATTCAACAACAGATTTTTAAAAAACATTCATTTCATTATGCTGACCCCACAGGAAGTAATTTTTACATAAGAAGGTGTAAGAATGACATGAAAAATAAGAGTAATCATAATGCAAGACAAAAAACTGGGGATGTCGTTTATGCTTTAACTTTTCTCTTTTTTTTGGTCTTTTTGAGACAGGTTCTTCCTATAGCCCCAGCTGTCCTGGAACTCACAATGTAGAACAGGCTGGCCTTGAACTCACAGAGATCCGCCTGCCTCTGCCACCCAAGTGCTGGGATTAAAGGTGTGTGCCACCATGTCCAGCTGCTTTTATGCAAGTGTGCATGTTATAGCACTGTGTGGAGGACACCTTAGAGGAGTCAGTTCTCTACTTCTACCAGGTGGGTCACAGGGATCGAACTTGAGTGGCTGGACTTAGCAGCAAGCAAGTTTACCTGCTGAGCCACTCACTTTGAGACTTAGGCAACGGTTTAGTCTCTTTCATTGATAGTCTCCTAATCTGTAATAGCTTTTATTTTATGAGGGTGGAGAGGATTAAATGATTTAATACAGGCATGCTTAACAAGTGCCAGTGCGCCAGTGCTCTAGTCAATACTAGAGATGGGTTTTATTTGCAGCTACTGTGATTTAAAACTAACCTTAGAAACGATGAAATAGCTAGTTAATGGTATGGACTAGCTCTTCTACCAAAAAGAAACAGGTAAAGGGCTTTTGAATAACATGGAATTGTAGTGCCAAAAATGTAAATCTTGCTCCTAAAGTTTTGCATTCATACTTTAACAAATAAGATACAATTTCCAAATAGCCCTACCTATAGCAGCTATATAAGTTAGCCACACTTAAAGTCAGTTAGTTACACTGTACCATGTTTGCTAGGATACAGTAGAATATACTGTTACCTCTAAATATGATTTCTTAAATTTATATTAACTTACCAGTAACTTATTTCCTGTAGCAAGGAGTATGGGAGCAGGGCAAAGCTCTGGCTTGGAGTCTCTAGTTGGTGTAGACCACCTGGGACTGTTCGCATTAAGGAGATGTATAAGCTTCCTTTTTGCATTGTTGCAAAATGAATCAATATTCTAAAAAAATAAGTTGGAAAAGCTGTTTTGTAGGTTGCTAATTCACATATTTATGTTCTCAGGAAGTATCTTTTAAAACTAGAAATAAAAAGTTCAGATCAGAACAAAAGAATGATTTTTTTTTCCCTCCCTGAAAACTAGGTCTCATAGTATCAGGATACTATGCAAGCTGCCAAGGGAGAAAAACAATCAGTGCTCCTACCCAGATGTAAAACCTATAAACCGCAACAACTGGCCCAGCAAATAATGTCTATTGGTATAGTAGTGGCACTTTTATCTTGGGGGTAATCAATAGCTACCTAATTGGACTTAAGGCCTGCTCAAAAGGCGTGAACTCATATGTGGTACTGAAAATACAGCCAAGTACATATGGCTGGAGATGGCATAGACTATAGGAAAAACCTACTTTTGTCACATCTGCAGACCAATGTAATTTCTTACTATATTCTAAATATGTATCCTTATTTTTCAAACAAGTGTACCTCTCACCACTCATCAAAGCTTTTTGCAAAAGATGGAAATTATATAAAGTTCCATAACTTGTCAAATTTAGAGAATAAGCGTCTGTGAGGTGCCTAGTCCTAAGTGACACATCTACAATGCAACCTCTACACCTAAGGCTCAGGGAACACTGAGGAAGTGGAAGAGGGAAGAATTTAAGAGTCAGAGGGACAAGACGCCTGCTGCTAGTTAACGCATTCTAGACATGACAGGGAAGCTACGCCAATGAAATCTCCACAGTACGACCATCTAACAAGATCTTCATAGAATGACAAAACCAGTTAACATGCCGAGGTGAGCAGGGTAAATTTTAAGGGGTCCCACCTTTAGATCAAGAGCTATAAGCAATCAATGGATGCTGAAAGAGGAAGAATCAGTTTTCTTCAGGGACTAGTGTCCTGAGAAGTTATTTAACTCCAAGTGGACAGCCTTAAGCACAGGTACACAGGAGCACCACTAAATGGACACAGTATATCATGTGTGTGTGTGTGTGTGTGTGTGTGTGTGTGTGTGTATCTATAAATGCATGCAGTATATGTAACAATAATAAAGAAAAGGATAAGAAATTGAGAGGGAGTTGGGGGACATGGAGAAGTTGGATGGGGACTGGGAGGGATGGAAATAATGCAGACTATATTCATGTATGATATTGACAAAAACCAGTTTTTAAAAAAGGTTCCTACTATGTAACCTAGCTGGCCTCAAGCTCACTATAGCCCAGGCTGGCAGTGAAGCTCTGGAATTATAGGCATGTGCCATGCCTGGTGAGACATCCAAAATGACAGAAAAGCACACTAATATAAAACCAACACCAGTGACACAGAGGACCTAGTGGTTGGAAGTAAAGGCTAAAGGGCTAGAGGGAGTGGGAGGAGAGAGAAGATGTGAATGAACACATGAGCACATGTGAAAATAAAGTGTAAGAGATCTCCAGGCACCTGGACAACTGGGGCTTGTGTCCAGGTCTCTTTACTCCCTATCAACTGGAATCATCATATTTATAGAACTTTCTTATGGCAGTAGCATGGAAAAGTTTCCTTGTCTGCCTCGTGTCTGTCCACGCACTAACTGAAATAATACACAGCTATAACTATAGAAAAGCAAGGTTTTTTAAAAAAAATTTATTTTAAAAAATTTTATGTGTATGAGTGTATTGCTTGCATGTATGTAAGTGCACCTGTGTTGTGCAATGCCCGCGGAGGTCAGAAGATGGTGTTGGATTCCCTGGAACTGGAGTTATGGATGGTTGTTAGCCTCCATGTGGGTGCTGGGAACCAAACCTGGGTTCTCTGCAAGAGCAGCTAGTGCTCTTAACCACAGAGCCATTTCTCCAGCCCTATAAAAGTAATGTTTGAGGAGTCACAACTGGTAGAATACCAGTCATGTCACATGAGAGTAACTGCAAAACTTTAAAAATTGGGGGTTTACATAAACAGCAGGCACTCTGATTAGGGTAAATAATCAAAGTCACTCCTACCCTGATTTAGAGACTAGACAAAACAGGCACTACTCCATTGTGCATACTGAGTCTTTAGGTTAAGATACTAACAAATTTCCTTTGTGTATAGCTAGCTACTCAAGTACTCTCACAATATAACTCTATTGACATATATTTTGAGTAACATTTCAATATTAAATTACATAATTAAGGCTTATTTTTTGTGAATTCTTTACTCAGTATCAACTTATGGAATCTAACAAATTTTAATGGGAGGCAGTATCACAGAACAGAGTTTGAGTAATGCATTCAAACAGCTTAAGCATGAGCTGTGGGCCAATCAACTTGGCATGTAACCAGGGTGTACTGTACAGCTTCAGTTATCAACTTGACACACCTGGGTTGAGGGAGCCTCAATTGGGCCATTGGACTGGCTTGTGACCATGTATTTTCTTGATTTTTGAGTGATGTAGGAGGGTCCAACCCATGGTAGGTGGTACCACCCCTGGGCAGGTTGTTCAGTGCTGTATAAGAAAGCAGGCTGAGCATGGGTCAGAGGAGCAGGCCAGTAAGCAGCGTTCCTCCATGGCCTATGCTTCAGCTCCTGCTTCCAGGTTCCTGCCTTGAGTTCCTACCTTGGACTCCCTCAGTGGTAACCTGTGACCTGGGAGATGTAAGCTGAATATACCCTTTCCTCCCCAAGTTGGTATTGTCAGAGTATTCTGTCACAGCAATGGAGAAACAAACTAGAAGGCAGGGCAAGCCATTTCACTTCTGTTTCTGGAAAAATAATTCTCTACCTTAAAAGGATGTTCAGAGAATTAAATGAGGTAGGCTTAGGCCAAGGCCTGATAACACTCTAAGCATTCAGTATCATCAGCCAATTATATTACAACATCATTTAGGGAAAATAATTTTAGTGTCAAATGTAAGAGGCATAAGCTATGTGAGATACTAGAGAATTTAAATGCAAACTTGCAGACTATACATTATTAATTAACTACACTGTCAACCTCTGTAAGCCATAGGTAAGTTGGATTATTCTTGTTCCCAGCTTCCTGTTTGCCTACATGCTCTGCACTTCTGAGGATCGTTACCATAGCTAATGCTATTCCCTTTAAGTCATTCTACTCTGGCAGCTGCTGAGAGTTTCCTATCGTTCAGGTTTATGGGCAATAACATATAATGAAAGCTCACCTTATGATACTTCTCTCCACTGTCCAGTTTTCTAGCTTCTAGCTACGTCATTACTATTGGACCATTACAGTACCAAGATGAGTGGTAATGCTGGAAAGAAATTTTACCTCAACAGCATGCTTCATTCTGTTGACTGTCTCTTGAAAGTGGGCTTCCTTTGGACTGCCAGAAAACATGGAAAAATCTCCAGCAAATAAAGTAGGAATTCCTGACTGGGATTCTGAGCGCCACTGGAGATTGCTTGCAGTGATTAGCATATGAGGTTTGATAACATCTTCATTAGGATCTGTCCAGAACTTTACTGCTAATAAATTAAGGCATTCGTCTGACAAATAGACCAAAGGACCAAGACCTAGAATGAAAAGAGAACTCATTGTTATGCTTAAAAATGCTAGGGACCATTAACATGCCTGTTTATTTCAGTAGATGCTAATGGTAAAAACAACAAGCATCCCCTATAATTTAGAGAACACACAGGATTTTCAAAATGCTACACTGCTTAGAACGTTAAAATTTTAATGTCAAGCTCTTGGCCTTAGCACCATGAGAGCAGAGTGGAGGAAGAAGCATTGCTGGCTCGAGTGCAAGAGAACAAAAGATGGGGCTGGAGAGATGGCTCAGTGGTTAAGAACACTGGTTGTTCTTGCAGAAGACCTGGGTTTGAATCCCAGCACCCACATGGCAGCTAACAACTGTCTGTAACTCCAGTTTCAGGGATCCAATGGCCTCTTCTGTCCTCTCAGGCATTGCACGACACAGGTGCACTTACCTACATGCAGGTAATACAGGCAAACACATAATAATAAATAATAAAAAGAGAACAAAGACAAAGCCGAGGTCCAAGGATGTGAGCTTCTGCATCCATGGAGGCCGCAGGAGTGCAAATAAGGAATGCTGGTGACTGCGATGCTGGGACAAGTTGCTGGGCAGTACACTACTGTCCATAATTTGTCTCAATGGATCTGGAATTTCACCATCTGATCAGATACCAACTCTGAGAGATGCCCTGCTGGTCCTCTGCCCAGGACCTGTAGCATTCTGGACTAGTTCTGTTTTCACTTGTGGGCAAGTGTAACCTGTGTACAACAGAGCATCTCTTCTGCTGTCTTGGCTGAAAAATTGAAACAACCAACCAACCAAACATCAATGACTAAGCACTCTGAGGTCACAAGGAAGCAGATAAACACTACACTGCTGATGAGTGTGGATTTGACCATTCCTCTGGAGAAAATGAGGCAATGCCCAGTGAAGCTGTGTATTTACCTTTCTGCCCAGCATTCCTATTTCTAGTACTCCACTCTGAAGACACCTGTCCAGTAACAGTGAAATACACAAGAGCAAGAATCATGAAAACAGTTGTGAATGAGGCCACTCACTCACTATAGCATGGTCTGCAGTTCCACAATGCTGGAGGCAGCTTCTATCAGCTCACACAGGAGAGTGGCTGGCTGAACTGTTACATCCACACAATGGTATACTAGGAAGTGTGAAAAAGAATGATGAACACCCTATCAACTGATTTCCAGGACAGTGTTAAGCAGGAAAAGAAAAGCACAGAAAAGATTAAAATGTGTCACCCTTCATAGAGGAAAGGAGGCAGAAGAAAATATGGTTCTGTTCGTTTGAGTAAAAAAGCAGAGGAAGGTTAAAGAAGAAGCTGAAGAGATGAGGTTTGAGGATACTGGCAATGAAACGGGAACACTTCTTCCAATTTATCGTTGTGTATAGCTTTAAGATCTACTTTCCATTAAAAAGGAACCAAAGGTCCTTAGAGAAATGGTTAATCTAGGCCTATGGCAAGGAAAAAATATATGTAACAAGATGAACTGGGAACATCATTGCTAAAAGCAAAGAAGTACTTGGAAGGTGAAGGAGGCTTGTTGGGAGCCAGGATCAGTCTTTGGCTCCAAGGCACCAAAGCTGAAGCAACTTGAGCATGAAGAAAGTAGTGAATTTTAATCTGTTGAATAGTATAATATTCCCAAGACCACACTGATAGAAACTCCTTCTAGCAGATATCTACAGAGCTCTAGCTCATTCCTTCTAAGTGCCAATTCACACCATCCTTCAGCTCACTGGGATCTCCAACTTCCTATCTCTTGTTCACTGCTCAACACTGCCCTAGGGCCTCTCTTGGTTGTGTAGTGTTTGGGTCCCAAGGTTAACAATTAAAACACTTGTGTACATCCTCGGATTTTTGGCTTTTCTTGCTGTGTATTCACCAAGTCAACTACAACCCTTGTTAAATCCATTTTTAACCACTTCATGCCCATACCACCTCAGCTGACATGGCAACAAAAATGTCACACAAACATAACACATTTACTTTAGATTCATGAGCCTCAACTACCCCTGGGCACAGGCAGGCAACTGGGATGTACCTAGTCCAGTCACTGCTATTCCTTGGGTGATTACTTCCCACCCTCTCTCTCTACCTCACCCTACTCTGACCTTCAGTGGATGACTCTGTTGCCTATTTCAGCAAGGAGATAAAAGCAGTCAGAAGACCACGTTCCTCTGCTTCTCTTGTTCTGTTAGTCATCTAGTCCCTCTACTTTGGAAAGGGTTCCTCCACAGGACCAAAGTCAGTGGTCAGTTCAGTCCTCACCTCACATCCATGCTCTCCAAGAGCATCTGAACAGACTTCATCACTGAAAGGGGCAACCTGTTTGTGTCTTGCTTTCAGCACACCACACTCTCCTCAGCAGTCCTTCCACCTCTCAGGCCCTCTTCTTTCATTGGTTCCTTTCTATCTTCCCTGTTTCTGAATATCAAAGTGCTACAACTCTGCCTGGGATCTCAGTCTACTCCCACACTCACAATGACCTCACTCAGTCTCACGACTTTCAAATTCTGTATCCTCAGGCCTGACCACTGCTCTGCACATTCTATAAATACAACCGTCACTTCTACTGTATGTCACCTCTACAAATAAGCTCCTGAAACTTAACTTCTAAAACTTAGCTCTTGACTTTCCCTTCTCAGTAACTGGCAATTCCACTTTTCCACATTCTCAGACCATCCCAAGATCTCCCTCTCCCTTCAAAATGCAACCAAAATCTGCTTCTTGCCATGCTCATGGCTCTGTCTGCTTCCCCGTCATCTCCTGCTGACACTCTTACAATAGCCTCCTCCTTTTGGAGCCCCTGTTTGTACTCTCATGTCCACTATGTCCAGTGTGACAGTTCGGGTGATGTGTGAACAGGTCAGAGTCTATCTTCTTCTACTTGAAACCTTCCTGTGGCTTCCCATCAGCCTTCATGTAAAGTTAAAATATGTATAAGGGGGCTGGCAAGATGGCTCAGGCAGTAAAGGTGATTTTGAGCAAGCCTGACAACCTGTGTTAATCCCCAGAACCTACATAAAGGCAGAAGGAAAGAACTGAATCCTTAAAGTTGTCTTGTCCTCTGACCTCTACATGCACACCACACAAACACACAGAATAATAAGTTAAGATTAAAAACTAATAAGAAAAAAACTGAAAGTACTCTATACAGCCTGTTCCTTTATTGGCCCTCTCCTGGCTGTTGCTACCATGCTCTGACCTCTGCCAATGCTTAGAGCACTGGGCACAACATACTTCCGGGAGCGTGCTTCCCTAGACTCCACGTGCTTCTCCTTCAATTCCTTCAAGACCCATGTAAATGCCAACCTCTCAGTGATGTCTTTTTTCAACTCTGTCCAAAATTGTATCTGAATGTATGCTCACCATCCTTACCCTGCCCTTTCTTCCCTACTTCATTTTTCCTTTTGGTAATGATTAAGAAAACTATGATCTCCTTCCTCTCACCATAATGTTTCACAAGGGAAGTGTTTATTACCTATTTTGTTTATTGCTATGTACTCAGCATTCAGAAGAGTGTCTGGCATCTAACAGTTGCTAATGAATATTGACTGACTACATGAATAAAAGTTACCCGCCTCCTCTAATGAAGTGTGTGGAGACAAGGTGACCCTGACGTACCCAAATGACATGGCAATGTGACTTATTAACATAACAGTCAGAGAAAAACCACAGTAGTAAAATACAACTACCAAAACACAACAGGAATAGATGGATGGGAGGAAGGAAGGAAGGGATAGGAAAGGAGACTAGTGTGAGCAAAGAAACAGCATTGTCTTGGGTGTTAGAATTATGTTTCTAGTGCGTGTGTACTGACAACTGGTGTGTGAGGAGAACACCTAGCCACCTATTTGGGTAATATTGTTTTCTAATGAAGAGAAAAAAGAAGATCTCACACCAAGTGCTCTCAAAAGGTTAGGGGCTGGAAAGATGGCTCTACAGGTAAGAGCACTTACTGCTCTTCCTAAAGACCTGCGTTCAGTTCCTAGCACCCAAATGGCAGCTGACAATCATCTATGACTCCAGTTCCAAGTGGATCTGATATCCTCTTCTGGTCTCCCCAGGCATTGCACACATGCATACATGTAGGCAAGACATGCAGACACAAACAATAAAAATAAATAAAAAGAAAAAAATCCTCAAAGAACAGGAACTTAAGACCATGTAGTCAATATGAAAAGGAGACTGTGGGAAAAAAGAAAGAAATTGGTAACACTAATTATGTCCACAGTGGGCTAGATTTATACATTAGAAATAACAAAGTGGGATACATATAGTGTATTGCAGAAAATAAAATTAAGGACATAAAAGCTTGACAAAATCATAGTGAATAAAGACAGAAAACACAAAGAAAAAGAAGTAATGAGATAAAAGCAAAAATAAATGCAATCTGACCTAAAGCTGTGTTCCTGAGGTAAGGATCCTAATAAAGGGAACTAATGTTACAGAGTTTGAAATCACTGGGAAAAGACCACCCAGACTTTCAAAGTTTTGAATCAGTCAAATCTATTTAGCTTGCCAGTGACTGCACTCTCTGAGCCAATTTAAGAGAATGCAGCCCTTGCTCAGAGGAAAGTAAAGCTTTTAAAGGTAAGGTCCATATCATGACTGGTTGGTACATGATTTACTCAAAGACAGGCAGTCACATGTAGGTGGGCAAGCAAGCAGTTACAGAAGCCAGATAAGCAGTTACAAAAGCCAGATAAGTCACAACAGGAGCCTCCCAGGGTTACATGGGTGTGTTTCTCAGCTCTTCCTGGAACTTCTGGCCCCGGGTCAGGCTAGGGTCTAGGACAGCTCACCTAGGTGTCTTACATAAAATGGAGCTCAGGCTATTACACCACAGAAACAGAGACACGCAATTTTCTTGAAATATAAAAATCACTGAATCTGTAGATTATCACATTGTAGGAAACTGTGTAGAGAAAGCTGATATTAGGAGTTGGAGAGATGGCTCAGTGGTTATAAGCACTTGTTGCTCTTTCATGAAGAGGACCTGAGTTCAATTCCCAGTACCCTTGTTGGGTGACTTACAACCACCTCTAACTCCAGTTCTAGGGAATTCAATGCCTTTTTCTGGCTTCCACATGCACCCAAGCATATACACAAACATACACATAGACATAAATAATAAATTTAAAAAGAAAGCTTGTGAGCTTGAGCAATGGCTCAGCAGTTAAGAGCTCTGTCTACTCTTGCAGAGGACCCAGGTTCTATTCCTAGCACCCACATGGTGACTAACAACTACCTGTAACTCCAGTTCCAGGGGAACTGACACTCTCTTCTAATCTCCACGGGCACTGCATGACACGGGTGCACTTACAGACACGCAGGCAATACACTCATACACATAAAATAAAATATTTTTTAGAAAAAGCTTGTGTTAATACGTTACTTAGTTAAGCCTTTAGATTTTAAAACAAATCTTCTTTAACTATCCTGCATAGAAAATCACCTAATTGGGAGGGAAAAATCAGGCCTATCTCAGACTATGCCAATGAACATGCCAAAAGAGCAATTTCTATAAAGTTCTGAGGGAAGGGGGAAAAAAAGAATGGCTCCATGATATTACTTAAGGGGTACTCAACTATTGGCAATGTTTGGGACCTTAAGTGTTTTAGATTCTGGAACATCTGCATATAGATGAGACACCTTGCCTAAACAAGTCCTAGACAGAAAGTTCCTTCATGCTTCGTATCTATCTACACATAGCCTAACGGTAATTTTATACAATACTTTTTGATTTTTCACTTGGAGTGTCATGTCTACATTCAAGTTTCAGGTTCTAGAACATTTCATGTTTCAGATTTGTGATTAGGAAAATTCCATCTGTATCTAGTATCAAACTGTGTCTGGATGCAGTTTCAGAAGCAAGGCAAGCAGGCGCACATGTCACACATGCGAGAACCACAGGGAACAAGGTACATTTGAAGCTAGCTCAAAAACACAACTAAAAAGACAAACTTTCCCTGAAGAAGTGAGGCACAGGAAACTCTGACAGGGAAGTTCGTAAACAAGAAGTCCATCAAATACACAAGACCCTATCTTATATTATGCACTGTTTTAAGAGCTGCAAATACACTTCTGCCCTGACAAAAATTATATCCTGGAAAGGAAGAGGACACAAGACCCTATCTTATATTATGCACTGTTTTAAGAGCTGCAAATACACTTCTGCCCTGACAAAAATTATATCCTGGAAAGGAAGAGGAAGGGGGAAGCACCGGGGAGATGGAGAGGGACAGAAACATGCACTGTTAGGTGCTGAAGAATGCTAAAGAGAAAAATAAGAATACAGGAGAGAGCAAGAGAGAATGCTGCTGGCTAGGGAGATGAGAGGAAGGACCATCGTTGTGTGTGCATGGGAAAAAGCAGGAGTGTGGTCTCTGAGACAGAACAGCAAGAACAAGTCACATGGCTTGGGAGAGAGCTAGGAGGTAAGGTTGAGGCATCTGGAATACAATAAATAACCAAGAAATGGAAGGCTTTGTGCCTAAGCAGAGATTTAAGCTGGACCCTGACATCTGTGGGTAGAAAATATGACTTAAGCCAGGACTGGTGGTGTACACCTTTAATCCCAGCACTCAGGAGGAAGAAGTAGGTGGATCTCTGAGAGTTCCAGGCCAGCCTAGTCTACACGGCAAGTTCCAGGCTAGCTAGGGCTGTAGGGAGACCCTGTCTCAAAAAGACCAAACTATCTATCTATATCTATATCTATATCTGTAGATAAAACATATGGAAAGACGTATGGAGAGGGGAACACACCAAGTTACGTTTAGAGATAAACTAGAGGGCAGGGTAGTGCTTAGTGGCAAAACACTTCTCCAGCACTGTGAGCCACTAGCTTTGATTCTCAGCACTACAAAATAAATGAATGAATGAAAAGGAAATAAAATTAATTTGGCAAAGATGTTGGGGGGTAGCAAAGCTACAGATGTTAGAGGTTTTGAATGTTTCATTAATGGAGCAGATTATAATTATTTGACAGTAATTACTGCAAACACACTTTGAATAGCAAAGAATGGATATAAGTTGTTACCCTGAAATACTACAGAATTACTTTTTATTAAGAATAGAGGTAAAGAGCCAGCAAGATGGCTCAGTGGGTAAAGGTGCTTGCCACCAAGACTGTGTTTGATCTCTGGGGCTCATATTGTAGAAGTAGAGAGCTGACTCCTGCACGTTGTCCTCCGAACTTCCATACACACAAACACCAAAACACATACATGAAAACATATACTAACATCACTAGTTAGCAAATTTGTCAGCTGGTAGCTCTAACTAATCATTAATTTAAAAGCTCAAAGACAACGCTTTCAAAAGAAAGTTACAACTAAATACACAAACGTTACAATTAAATACATTACCTATTTTCTTTACAATAGAAACTACAAATCCTACGAGGTCTACTTCAGAACAAGGTGGTTGAAAGGCTGGTTCTAACAGTCTGCTGAAATGAAGGGGTGCCCTTGGCTGGTAAACCTGGAATAAGATTTCATCTGAAGCCTACAGAAAACGAAACAAACATTTAGTATATGGAGATTCTAGAAGAGTAGAAAGCATTTATCAAAATCCAAAGTTTGTGATGAAAAGTTTATACCGGTAGTTGCTGATACTGAGTTTTTTTTGTGGTTGCTAACTGTATGTTAGTTCTTTCAGATTTACTTTTAGATTTTGATGTTGCAAGATGATAGATTCTATATCTCTTTCCTTCTGTTAGGAGGGAGTGTAAGTCTGATGATGGACGCCAGATACTCAGTATAGCTGTTCAGAGAAAGAGAAGGGTAACATAGTGGGAGGGACTGACACACATCAAAAGAAATAGTTATAATAAAGACCTTTATGGGTACTAATAGCCCATTTTGCTCATTTGATATACATGGATTTTATATTTTACTTGGTATTTGTTATTATATGCAACAAATACATCACCTTTTAACTTTACAAAATTGATAAAAAGAAAAAAATTGTATACTAACCTGATTTTTCATTTTTCTTGTAGCTTTCAATACGCAACTTCCACACAGTTGTAACATCCCTTGATAAGCCCTGTTCCTCTTGTTCAGCAGATTCCAAGGCCTTCCTGAATTCCAACTGGATCTGTGCCTGCTTCTTATCATTCAACATTTGTCTGTGATTATTCAATGCTCTTAGCTGCTCTTCAGTGAAATAACCCTGTGATCATGTAAAATATTGACACAGAGCAGAGTCATCCCACCTATCGTCACTGTATTGCTTCATATAAGAAGAGAACATGACAGATCTGATTCACCTTAGGGTATGTATTAATGCACTCATTTTATCACGCAATATTCTCAGGGACCTTAAACTGCTTATTAATCCTTGTGACAAATTTCCTTAGAGCAAAACCAAACCCCTAGGTAAGTGTTCTTTAACCATAACCAGCAGTATCTACATTATAAATGGCTGATATGAATGGACAGTATAACTGAGCAATGATTTATGCCTGTTAAATGTATTAATCCATCCACTCTTCACAAGAATCCTCTGACTTGGATACTACTATTGATTTCATGTTACACTGATGAAATGCAGGCACAGAGAATGAACAGCATGTAGAGGCAACCCAGGGAGAGCTGCCTCAAAGGAGAGGCCTCAAAGGCCTTCATTCTCATCTCCTAGAGACCTTTCAAAGATCTAATTTAAAAACATTTTTTCAACATTTACTTACTTATTTTATGTGTGTATGACCTCCACATGAGTGGAAGTCAGAGGATAATTTGTAGGGGTCGGCTCTCTCCTTCCTTCTGTGGGTTCAAACTCTGACTACAAACTCTTCTGTCTTTGCTGTGACATAGCTCTACCACTTATTTCAGCCAATTCCTGTCTGTATCTACTAGGAATCTTATTGAATATAAAAAAATAAATAAATGGGCAATAAAAAATGGAAAATGAACTCTAGCCACGTAACATACCAGATTGATGTTGTCTTAAACATCTTAACATTCTAATCAATTCTGGAAAGGGTAACTCTTATAATTTTTGTATCCCATAAAGGTCTTTCTATATGAAGACAGCACTTATTAAACATGATTTGTTTTTTATGGAAAAATTCAACATTGTTATTGAAAATAAATTTTTTCAGCCATGCATGGTAGGGCATGCCTTTAATCCTAGCCCTCGGGAGGCAGAAGCAGGTGGATCTCTGTGAGTTCAAGGCCAGCATGGTCTACACAAAGAGTACCAGGCCTCCTCTAACAGTTGCACTGATAATACCATGCAGTTCAAACCTCATGTAATCATATACACTTGCAGTCTTAGAGATAACCCTCCTTTAAGTTTCACTTGCTAGAAGTAGGCAAGGAAGCTCAAAGAAAGAACTGACTTTTCCAGATACATGTAGGTATGCCCAACCTGCAGTCAAGAGCCATGTGCATCCCAGGATAGGCATGGGTGTAGTATGACACAGTTGTAGATGACAACCTCATATCACAATGTCAAAAGGCAGGACAACTCTGACAGTGGCCAATCTTCTAGTTTTCATTCTGTCCCTTTAGTCAGTCATTTTATATCAGCAAATTTCCTAAAAGGAGCCTGGAGTGGCTGTGGAGGGGGATCAGCAATTAACAGGAGTGTTCTCTGCTCTTCAAAGGGCTTCAGTTCAGTGCCCAGTACCCAAGTCAGGCAGATCACAACCACCTGAAACTCCAGTTCCATGGAATCCAATGCAGCTGGTGTCCACTGGCAATTGCATACAAGTGCACAGCCAAACACATAGACATAATTAAAAATAAAATAAAAAAAAAAGAGCCCAGGGCTGGAGAAATGGCTCAGCAGTTACAAGGACCCAGGTTTGATTCCCAGAACCCACATGGCAGCTCACAACTGTCCATAACTTCAGTTCCAGGGGATCCAACACCGTCTTCTGGCCTCCACAGGCATTGTACAACATGGGTACGCTTACGTACATGCATACAATACACTCATACATGCGATAAATAAATAAATAAATAAATAAATAAATAAATAAATAAACAAAATATATTTAAAAAGGAGCCCAGGCTGGGTGTGGTGATGCACACCTTTAATTCTAGCACTCAGGAGGCAGAGGTGAGATCAAGGCCGGCCTGGTCTACATAGCAAGTTCCAGGCCAGCTGGGGCTACAAGGAGACCCTGTCTCAAAAAGACCAAAAACAACAACTCAGGAACTCAAACAGAAAGCTAGGGAAAAGAAGCGAAAAGTAAGTGGAGGACAGAACAGAGACTATCAGATCTGAAGACAAGGGAGGAAAAATGGATCACTCAATCAAAGAAAAATGTCAGATCTAAAAACCCAGGAACAGAGTATGCAAGACCTCTGGGACACCATAAAAAGACCAACTCTACAAATCACAGGCATAGAAGAAAGAAAAGAAACCCAGGTGAAAGGCACTAAAAATATTTTTGATAAAATCATAGAAGAAAATTTCTCAAATCTAGGGAGATATCTATTAAGGTACAAGAGGCTATAGAACACCAAGTAGACAAGACCAGAAAAGAAACTCCCCATGGTCATATAATAGTCAAAACACTAAACGTACAAAATAAGATATTAAAAGCTTTGAGAAAGATAAAGTCACATATAAAGGCAGGCCCAGTAGAATAATGCTGACTTTTCACTGGAGACTATGAAAGCCAGAAGGGCTTGGACCAAGTCCTGAAAGAATGCAGATTCCAGCCTAGACTACTATATCCCAAAAAACCATCAGTTGTAATTGAAGGAGAAAGAAAACTTCTAGAGATAAAAAGATTTAAGGAACTTATGTGCATGAAATCAGCTCTACAGAGAATATTTGAAGGGATACTTTGGTTTGAAGAGAAGATTAAACACTCTCAAGAGGGTACAAAGAATAAATAAATTATCCCACAACAGTTAACCAAAAGAGGTCTAAGAAAACAGCACCACAACATTAACATAATAGGAACTAATAAACATTGGTCAGCAATAGCTCTCAATATTAATTGTCTCGAATTCCCAGTAAAAAGACACAAACTGACTGGATTAGAAAACAGGATCCATCAATTTGCTGCCTTTAAGAAACAAGCTTCACCATCAAAGATTGACAACATCATAGAATAAAAGAATAGAAAAAGATATTCCAAGCAAACAGAACAAAGAAACAAGCATGTGTAGCTATTCTTTTTTAAATATATATTTTATTTATTATTTTTATTTTATGTGTATTCATGTATTGCCTGCATGTAGGTAAGTGCACTTGTGTCGTGCAATGCCCACAAGAGGCTGTCTGATCCCCTGGAACTGGAGTTACAGACAGTTGTTAGCTGCTATGTGGGTTCTGGGACTCAAACATGGGTCTTCTGCAAGAACAACCAGTGTTCTTAACCATTGAGCCATCTCTCCAGCCCCCATGTGTAGCTATTCTAATAGCTGATAAAACAGACTTCAAAACTACTCAGAAGAGATAGTGAAGGTAACTTCATACTCATTAAAGGAAAAATATAGCAAGAAGATATTACAATCCTAAACATATATGCACCATACAAAGGGGCATCCAATTTCATAAAATGAACTTTATTGGGTTTAAAATCACAAATTGACTCCAACACAGTGATAATGGATGGCTTCAATACCCTATTCCCACCAATAGACAGGACAACCAAAAAACTAGAGAAACCCTAGAGTTAAATGACACCATAAATCACATGGACCTAACACATCTACAGAACATTCCTCCCAAATGCCAATCAATATACTTTCTTCTCAGTAGCCCATGGACTTTACGCCAAAGCTGACCACATGTATGGACACAAAGCAAGTCTGCATAAGTTCAGAAAACTGTAACATCATCCTGTGTTCTATCTGAAAACAAAGGAATAAAGCTATACATATCAACAACAATAAAAACTGGGGAAAGTATATAAATACATGCAAGCTAAACAATACACTATTGAATGAAATTTGGATCAAGGGAGAAATCAAGAAGGAAATTAAACAATTCCTACAATTAAATGAAAATGAAAAGACAACATACCAAAATCTATGGGACAGTCCTAAGAGGAAAATTTATAGCACTAAGTGCCTACACAGAAAATTAGAAACATCTCATAGAAATAAATTAATGATGAAGGTCCTGAAAAATAAAGTACAAACAACAACTAAAAAGATTAGAGGGGTAGAGATAAAATCAAGGCTGAAATTAGAAATGAAGAAAACAATGCAAAGAATCAATGAAACAATGAGTCAGTTCTTTGAAAAGATTAACAAGATTGACAAACTTTTAGCCAAATTAACCAAAAGAAAGAGAGAAGACCCAAATTAATAAACTCAGAGACAAAAAGGGAAAATTACAACAGACTGAGGAAATTCAGAAAACTGTAAGAACGTACTTTAAAAATCTATGTTTGAGGGCTGGAGAGCTGGCTCAGAGGTTAACAGCACTGGCTGTCTTACAGAGGACCTGGGTTCAAGTCTTAGCATCCACATAGTGACTAACAACCATCCATAACTCTAATTCCAGGGGGAATCTGATGCCTTCTTCTGATCTCCATGGACACTGCATGACATGAGTGCACGTACATACATACATGCAGGCAATACACATTAGAAAAAAAAAACCAAAACCAAAAACCCTATGTTCTACTCAATTAGAAAACCTAAAAGAAATGGGTAAATTTCTAGATATGAAAGGCCTATAAAAGAAGTCGCCTTTAATCCCAGCACTCAGGAGGCAGAGGCAGGCAGATCTCTGTGAGTTCAAGGCCAGCCTGGTCTACATAGTGAGTTCCAGGACAGCTAGGGCTACAGGGAGACTGTCTCAAAAAGACCACACACACACGCAAAAAAAAGAAATCTAAATTATATAAGTATTTAAACAGACCTATAATAACCAATGAGATAGATGCAGTAATTAAAAATCTCCTAAACAAAAAGAGCCCAGGACCAATGAATACAGTGCAGAATTCTACCAAAACATCAAAGAAAAACTAAAACCAATACTACTCAAACTATTCTGCAAAATGCAAAATAGAAAGGGAAGAAGCACTCCCAAATTCTTCCTATGAAGCTAGTATTACTCTAATATCAAAACCTAACAAAGACCAACAAAAAAAAATTATAGGCCAATCTCTCTGTGAACATAGATAAAAAATTCTCTTGCAAACCGAATGCAAGAACACATCAAAGGCCAGGTGTGGTGCATGCCTTTAATCCCAGCACTCGGGAGGCAGTTGATCTCTGTTGAGTTGAAGGCTAGCTTGGTCTACATGTGGGTTCCAGGCCAGCTGGGGCTACAGGGAGATGCTGTCTCAAAAGATTAAAGAAAAAACAAAACAAACAAAAAAACACATCAAAAAGATTATCCACATGATCAAACTGGTGTCACCCCAGAGATGCAGTGACAAATCAGCACAGAAAAATCAATAAATGTTATCTACTACATAAACAGACTCAAGGACAAAAAACCCACATGATACCTCATTAGATGCAGAAAAGATCTTTGACAAAATAAAATATTCATTCATGTCAAAAGTCATGGAGAGGGGCTAGAGAGATGGCTCAGCGGTTAAGAGCACTAACTGCTCTTGCAGAGGACCCAGGTTCGATTCTCAGCACCCACATGGCAGCTACGAACTGTCCTTAACTCCAGTTCCAGGGGAATCTGAAGCCCTTCTCTTCTGACCTCTGTGGCATTGCATAACATGAGTGCACTCACATACATGCAGGTAATATACTCATACACTTAAAAAATAGTAATAAAATATTAAAACAAAAAGTCATGGAGAATTTAGGGAAGAGATACATCTCAACATAATAAAGGCAATATACAATATACAATAAACCCATAACCAACATTATACTAAATGAAGAAAAACTCAAAGCAGTCCCATTGTATCAGGAGCAAAACAAGGATGTCCACTCTCTCTATTCCTGTGCAATACCCTACTTGAAGTCTTAGCTAGAGCACTAAATCAGATGAGAGTGATAAAGGGATACAAATCAGAAAGGCAGAAGTCAAAGAATCCTTATTTGCAGATGATATGATTCTATACATAAAAGATCCTAAAGATCCTACCAGAAAACTCCTAGAGTTGATAAATACATTCATTGAAGTAGGTTATAAAATTAACACCCCAAACTGGATGTGGTCACGCATGCCTTTAGTACCAGCACTCAGAAGGCAGAGGCAGGCGGATCTCTGTGAGATTGAGGCCAACCTGGTCTACAAAGCAAGTGCCAGGCCAGCTGGGGCTACAGGGAGACTCTGTTGCAAAAAGACCAAACAAAAACAAAAACAAAAACAAACCTCCAAAATGACAAAAAAAAAAATTAATACCCCAAATCAGTAGCCTTCTTATATACCAACAACAGACATACCAAGAAAAAGACCAGGGAAATGATAGCCTCAAAAAACATAAAATAACTTGGACCAATGCTCATGGATTGGTAGGATTAATACTGTGAAAATGGCCATCCTACTAATCCTACCAATATCAATCTACAAATTAAAAAAAAATATTTTATTTTTTATGTGTACAAGTGTATATGAGGCAATATCCATTATAATTCCAACACAATTCTTTACAGAAATTAAAAAAATAATCTCAAATTGCATATGGAAATAGAAAACCCCCAAGGTAGCCAAAATAATCCTTATTAAGGATTATTATCAAATTAAACTACAGAGATATAGAAATAAAAATAGCATAGTACTGACAAAACAAAACAGACACATTGAGCAGTGGAACAGAACTGAGGACCTAGATGTATTTATTTTTATTTATTTATTTTAAATTTTTAAAATTTATTTTTTGTGTATGAATGTTTTCCCTGTATTTATATAAGTGCACCCATGTCATGCAGTGCCTTCAGAGGCCAGAAGAGGAAGTTGGATCGCCTGGAACTGGAGTTAAGAATGGTTGTTTGCCATGTGAGTGCTGGGAACTGAACCTGGGTCCTGTGTAAGAGCAGCCAGTGCTCTTAATCCCTGAGTCATCTCTCCAGCCCTTTGGTTTATTTTTTAATCATATGAGGACCCAGATTTAAATCTGCACATTTACAGCTACCTGATTTTTGACAAAGGAGCCACAAGTACACAGAGAATAGACAGCACAGTAAATTGGACAGCTGCATGTAGAAGAATCAACTAGATCCCTATCTCTCAGCATGCACAAAACTCAACTCCAAATGGATCAAGGACCTCAATGTAAGATACAATACACTGAACCTGACAGAAGAGAGAAGTAGGGAATTATTGGCCCAGGAAAGGACTTTTTGAACAGAATTCCTATAGTGTAAGCACTAAATCCAACAACTGACAAATGAGCCCTCATGAAACTAAAAAGCTTCAAAGGCCACTATCATTCAAGTAAAGAGACAATCTAGAGAATGAGAAAAAAAAAGTCTTTATCAGCTGTTTCTCTGACAAGAGGGTTAGATCTGGAATACACAAAGAATTGAAAAACTGAACATCAAAAAACCAAACAACCCAATTAAAAATTGGGGCAACTCTACTCTTGGTTACCCACCAGAAGTTCATGATAAGACCCTATTGGTGAAGACACTACATACATGGCTGTAGAATAAAGAAGGAAAAATCAAGCTGGGGCTGACTTCAAAGCCTCACATCTACTGGCTAGTTTTCATAGTGCTGAAAGGTGCTGTGCCTGCTACCTGAAGAGAAATTAATCATCAACCTTACCCAGCTATGATTCCTGTGAGCTACAACAACTAGACTGGCAAGATATGCCCACTGCTGCAACAGTGCCAAGATTATAATGGCAGTAACCAATCACTTTGTAAGAGCTAGATGTGATAGATGACCACAAGGAAGCAGAGTTTTCCAGACTGATGGTCAGTTGCTCATATAAACTCACAACAATGGTAATAGCATGGACAAGTCCCACAACAGCTCAAGCCAGACAAAATCCTAATACAGAAGTGGGGAAGTAACCCCAACCCTACCTGAGAAACTATTGGCAACCAATGGCTGCTAGGGGGAGGAAAGTCAGTCTCTTTCAAGAGTGTACATCTTGGTAGGCTAACCAGGCTCCAGTGGATAGACCCATACTGAAGGACATTTGGGGACACAAATTAAGCTCTACAGTCCATAATAACATAACATAACATAACATAACTTAACATAACATAACATAACATAACATAACATAACATAACATAACATAACATAAGCTGGGCGTAGTGGCACACACCTTTAGTCCCAGCACTCGGGAAGCCAAGGCAGGCAGAGCTCTGTGAGTTCAAGGCCAGCCTGGTCTACACAGCAAATTCTAAGTCAGCTGGGGCTGCAGGGAGACCCTGTCTCAAAAAAAAAAAAAGTATATATCTATAAAAATATATATATATATATATAAATATATATATAAATATATATATATATATGGAGGACATGAAATTGGGTGGGACTATTAAGGGGGGGTACAGATAAGAAAATCTAAATATGATTAAAATATATAGTATGAAATTTGGAAAAATTCAATGAAAACGAGTTAATCTTGTTTTGATTGCTTTTAAGATTTGTTTTATTTTTACGTATTTATGTGTGTATATGTGTGTGCATGTGTGTCTGTGTGGGTGCATGTGAGTCTGGGTGCCCTCGGAGGTCAGAAGAGGATGTGGTATCCCCTGGAGCTGGATTTATAGGTGATTGTAAGCCACCCAACATGGGTGCTAGGAACCAAACTCTGGTCCTCTGAAAGAGCAGCAAACACTCTTAACTGCTGAGCCATCTCTCTAGCTGGTTTGGTTTTTTTGAGACAGTGCTGCCATGTCTCCCAGGCAGGCATATAGCCTGGCATCTTCCTGCTCAGTTTCCAGACTGCTGGGAGTACAGATGTGTGCCACCATAGTTGACTAGAAAACAAGCTGTTTGCATTTTAAACCATATTTATCTAACATGAAATTCATAAACACTGTCATCCAATTCTTGATGCAGAATCAAAAATATGTCAGAGAAGTCACCCTTCTGAAAGACGTAGCATTCTGACATACAGCTTCATAACCAAAAGGGATAAGGACCAAGGCTTCTTGACTAGTCTTCTCACCTCAAGGTAATCCGGGTCTGGTGCATTTTTCACTGCTTCATAAAGATCTGCACCATCCTGGAGAGAGTGGACTTGTTGCCTTGTGAGTGCATGGGATGGCATACACTGTTTTGTTTTATTTTCTGGGGGAGGTGAGGAAGAACCAGTAATTAGCAAAATCAAAAACTTAAGAGTGAAAACAAGAGAGCCAAGCAAAAACACCCAAAGGAGGTAAATGAAATAATAAAATGTCATCTAGGGTGGTGATATGGCTCAGAAGGTAAACATGCTTATCAGCAAGCCTGAACACCCAATTTCAATCCTGGGAAAACACATGGTAGAAGGAGAGAAATGATTCCCATAATTTGTTCCTGACTTCATACTTGTGCTGTGTCATACATACTTAAATACACACACTAACTAACTAAATAAATAAATGTAGTAAGGATGTGTAAAAAGCCATGTATCTGGGGCTGGAGAAATGGCTCAAAGTTTGTTAGGAACACTGGCTGCTCTTGCAGAGGACCTGGGTTTGAGGTGCCGGCACCCACATACTGAATAACAACCTCCGTAACTCCAGTTCCAGGAATCTGACAAACCTCTTCTAACCTCTGCAGACACTGCACGACATGGGTGTACTTAATACATGCAGGCAATACACATGTACACATAAGTTTTGTTTTAAAAAGCCATATATCTACTAAGATTCCTTGGAAAAAATGAAACTGTTGTAGTCATAGTTAAAAAGTTATTCACAGTTTATTCAATTAGATTAATTTGTAACTTGAATAATTTGTTTCTCATACTGATTCATTTATTTATGAAAACAGTGTAAGTGGTGATTTTAAACCAAACACTGGAAGTCCTTTTTTTTTCGGTCTTTTTGAGACAGGGTCTCCCTGTAGGCCCAGCTGGCTTGGAACTCATTATGTAGACCAGGCTGGCCTCGAATTCACAGGGATCCGCCTGCCTCTGCCTCCCAAGTGCTGGGACTAAAGGTGTGCGCCCCCGTGCCCAGCCGGAAGTCCAATTTTTAAAGAAGATTTATTTTTGTTTGTGTCAATGACTGACATGTTTGTGGGGGATTTCTTGGAGCCTGTACAGGCAGTTGTTAAATGCTGGAAACCAAACTTGGGTCCTCTGCAAGAACAGGAAGTACTCTTCACCGTTTAGCCATCTCACTAGCCTCTCAATTATAAATATTAAATTAAAAGCTTCTAAAACATTGTTCTTATTTGAGAAATAATTTGCAATTTACAACTCATTCTACCTTCAGGGTCTTTAAATTCTGCTTGAATTTTAGTGAATAAAGCTTCTAGTTTCTTCTGTTGGACCTCTGCAAACTTTGTCGCTTCTTTTTCCTCTTCTTTTTCATTACGAAATACATATAATCCAGATGCTGTTTTCTCCACCCACTGTATGATATATTGAATTAAGAAAATAGGAGGGAACATTAAAATTCTCTTAAAAGAAAGAAATACACAGTAAATTTTCAAAATATACCATACCTGCATAGGGTACACTCTTTGAACAATAATATCAACACAGCCAACGTTTCCTCCGTCACTGAAGAGCGAGGACAAGGGCAGAGGGAAGGGCCTGGGATCAGGAAAGAACCCAAGTTTGGTGTACCAGCAAGCAGGCCGGGTACTGTTAGCTGAAATCTGGAGAAGTTAATGAATGAATCAATTTAGAAGTTAAACATAATTCAATTCTACTCCAAAATTTTCATTCCTTGAGGGTTGCTATAAAAATATTCACTTTTTTTCTGGGCATGGTGGCACATGCCTTTAACACCAGCAGAGGCAGAGGAAGAGGCAGGCAGATTTCTGTGAGTTCAAGGCAAGCCTGGTCTACACAGTAACTTCCAGGCCAGCTGGGGCTACGGCGAGGTTCTGTCTCAAAAAGACACCCCCCCCCCGCCAAATTCATGTTTAAATGTTTCATATGATTAGTAACAGTAAAAAAGTGAACAAATGAAAAATTTGTACGAAAGTGAAAATACCTCAACATTTAGTACTTTAGGGTTTGGGGTATAATTCTGTTGTATAGCACTTGTTCAGCATGTGGAAGTCCTGGATTTGACCTTTTAGTACCACACACACATTTCTGCTACAAATATCGTTACTAAAAATAGATAAAAGAGGGGCTGGAGAGATGACTCAACTGGCAAATTCCTTGCCCTGCAAACATGAAGATCCGAATTCTATACCTAGAACCAAAGTAGAAATGTCTGGAGTGGTAGTGCGTATTTGTAATCCCAGAGCTGGGAGTACACAGGAGGATCCCTGGGGTTCCCTGCCCTGGTTGAGCTCCAGGCCAAGGAGAGACTCTGTCCAAAAGCAGGTGGATGATATTACCGAGGATGACACATAAGTTGTCTTCTGGCCTCTACATGCATGTGCATACATACGTACCTGCACATACACACAGACAGAAGAAAAAAAAAAAATAGCCAGATGGGTGTGGTCACAAACACCTGTAACTCCAACCCTTGAGAAACTAGAGACAGGAGGATCAGAGCTTCAAGGCCAGCCTTGGCTACATAATGAGTTCCAAGCCAGCTATATGAGGGCTATATGAGACTCTGTTTTAAAAAAGATAAAAGTAACTTCAATTTAAACATGGTAAATCATTTATGCTAGAAATAAGTTTGCGGTCGCAAAGAAATAGGCCATACCACTCCAAATAAAGTGTCTTGACAAGGCAAAGCTTTACCTCTGATGAGAAAAGTGTGCAGCTCACACAAAATGGAGAAGCAAGTACACCAAGCATGAAATCTGATAGTATTTTATCTTAACACACAGTACTGTGTCTTTCCTGTTGCCTGGGTCTGACCTCACAGTCTTTCCAGGTGGCCAATTTTAAAAGAATCAGTGCAAAGAAAATGAAGGAAAGGAAAAAGGGTTGGATTTGAAAGGGGGAAAGAAGTCAGTCAATCCCTCTACGCCATCAAGTTCTGGGAAGGCAGCAGGGCCCTTGGGTAAACAAAAGTGTGAGTGTGTGTGTATATGTGTGAGGGGGTTGTGTATGAGATTATTCCAGGGCTGGAGAGATGGTTCAGTGGTTAAGAGCACTGGCTGCTAGCAACAACCGTCAATTATCTCCAGTTCCAGGGGATCCGACACCCTCTTCTGACCTCCTCGGGCACTGTGTGACATGGGTGCACTTACATACATGTAGGCAATATACTCATACACATAAAAAATAAAAATAAAAAAGTAATAAAAAGCTCTCAAAAGTTGTGCTAGTAAAAACACATTCAAGGATCAGAAGAGAAAACTAGAAACAATTCTAGAAGGTAGGGGAAGAAAAGAAGAAAAAAAGGGACGACCTGTATAAGATTGGACCTGTCAACCTCCTGTCACAGAGGGGAGGGGCTCGTGAGTCCCTGCTCCTTCCTAAGGATCCAAAGGCAGTGAACAGTGGCTGGGGAAGGAGAGACATTTTCTTCCATGGTGCAGCTACCATCAGGTGCCTGTGGTCTTGTAAATAACTTCTCACCCATGCTCCTGTAAGCAGCCCCAATGAAACTCACTGACACGCATGCACGCATGCATGTGCACGCAAAAGAAAAAGGAAATTGGGAAAAGGAAGGGGGATCCATAGGAGGGGACATGGGAGGAAATGGGGTGAATATGATTAAAATAGCTTATATATATAAAAATGTCAAAATGAAACCCATTATTAATAATGCATATATACTTAATACAGGTTAAGAAAATACATTAAAATAGAAGACTAAAAATCAGTAGATCAATTTAGAAAATCTAGTGCTCAAATATTAGGAAATCTATGAAGAAAGACATCATCAAAACACTACAAGAAAATCTCTTAGAATTCAGTGAAATACACAGCTTCTGGACTGAGTACTACTGAGGACCTAAAAATATTTTTTAATTTTATGTGTATGAGTGTATTGCCTGCATGTGTGTAAGTGCACCTGTGCTGTGCAATGCCTGCAGATGCCAGAAGAGGGTGCTGGAGCCCCTGAAATTGCAGTTATGGACAGCTGTTAGCTGCCACAGGTGCTCTGAAAGAACTCAAGTGTTCCTAACTGTCGAGCCATCTCTCCAGCCCTTTTTTCTCTTTTTGAGACAGGGTCTTCCTGTAGCCCCAACTGGCCTGGAACTCAGAGATAATGCCTGCCTCAGTCTCCCAGGTGCTGGGAGTAGAGGTGTGCATCATCGCACCCAGCTAAAGGGCAGTAATTTTTATAAAGAAAATAAAAGGGGTTGGAGAGACAGCTTACTGGTTAAGAGCACTGTCTGCTCTTGCAGAGGACCCAAATTTGGTTCCCAGCATCCATATGGCACCTAACAACCAACTCCAGTTTTAAGGGATTCAACACCTTCTGATCTCTTCAGGTACTGCATGGCACAGGTGCACTTACAAATATGCAGGCAAAACACTCATATACATTATATGAATAAAATTCATAAATAAAACAAAAATAAAATTAAAAATAAAAAAGACACTAATGAATTTTATTGTGAAATTTCAGAATACTGGAGAAAAAGCAATCTTTTTTTAATACACTTTATTATTTTTACTTTATATGTATGAGTGTATTGCCTACATGTTATGTGAGTGCACCTGTGTCTGCAATGCCACGGAGGTCAGAAGAGGGCTTCAGATTCCCCTGGAACTGGAATTAAGGACGGTTCATAGCCGCCATGTGGGTGCTGGGAATCGAACCTGGGTCCTCTGAAAGAGCAGTCAGTGCTCTTAACTGCTGAGCCATCTCTCCAGCCAGAGAAAAAGCAATCTTAAGAACAGATATATAAAAGGCCACTGAGATGGCTCTGTGGGTAAAGGCACTTGCCACCAAGCCTGACAACCTGAGTTCAATCTCTAGGACCCACATGGTTTAAGGTCCTTTGACTTCCATATGCGTGCCATGGCATGCATGTTTATGTACACACAATAAATAAAGTGTAATTTAAAAAACAGACCATATAGTAAAGGACTGCAAATAAAAACAGCAATGAGCTGGGCATGGTGGTGCACGCCTTTAATCCCAGCACTTGGGAGGCAGAGGCAGGCGGATCTCTGTGAGTTCAAGGCCAGCCTGGTCTACATAGTGAGTTCCAGGACAGCTGGGGCTACAGGGAGAATCTGTCTCAAAAAGACCAAAAACAACAACAACAACAACAAAAAACCCAACAATGAACTTACTCAGAAGCTGTACTAGTATTAACTAGTATTAAGAGCTACACTAACAGCAAGAAGCTAACAAGAGAACTGTCTTCAAAATTCTGGGGCTGAGAATCTAGCTCAGTGGTAGAGCTCTTGCCTAGCATGTGTGAGACTCTGGTTTTGATTTTCTCCATCACCCACAAAAGGATATATATGATTAGGAAGGAAAAAAAAAAAGGCCTTTAATAATCCCAGGGAAAGCAGTAAATTTTATAGTGTTCTGTTCATGTTCAACTAGTTTCTAGAAAGGGAATAACCATTTAATTATTTTTCTTTCTGTTATTATTACCCTCAGTGTCATATTTATAGGAAAAAAGCAATCTTATAAATTTTCATAAAGTGTCTTTATTAGGGTCTGATAATCTTTCTTTCTCCCCCCAGCCTCCTCCCTCCCTCCCTTCCCTCTTCCTCTTCTTCTTCTTTGGTGTTTTGGAGACAGTCTCCCTGTAGCCCTGGCTGACCTAGAACTTATTTATGTAGATCAAGCTGGCCTTGAACTCACAGAGATCCACCTGCCTCTGCCTCCCAAGTGCTGGGATTAAAGGTATGCATCACCATATCTGGCTGATAATTATTTTTTTAATTATAGGATAGGGGGTGAGGAGATAGCCCAGATGGTGAAGTGTTTGTCTTGAGGATCTGAGTTCTATTCCTAGAACCCATATAAAAAAAGTCAGGTGTGGAGCAGGGATGCAGTTTAGTTGGCAATGTTTACTTAGCAAGCATGAAGCACTAAGGTTGATCCCCAGCACTGCAGAAGCAGGTATGATGGTCCATACCTGTAATCCCAGCACCTGGGAGGGGGAGGCAGGAGCACCAGAAGTTCAAGGTCATCCTTGGGAAACATAGGGAGTTTAAGGGCCAGCCTGGGCTACATGCGACCCTGTCTCCAATTAGAAAGCAAAAGCACACATGTACAGTCACACAAGTTAAATAATTACAGTTGTGAGGGTCAAGGACTAAAAGAAAGAGCCAGAGGGACTGAAATGGTTGTTTCTGGAACATGAACAGGTGATAAAAGTGCTGTACCAAGGATTTTTTTCTTCTGTTATAAGCCTTATACTTAACTTCCAAAAATGTATACATGTATTGATTTGATAAAAACATGAGCAACAAACAAGAAAACAAAAACCACTGAAAGTTTGGTATTTTATGCAACACAAACCAAAGGCCTGTTTTGGCCTGATCAAATGCTTTCAGTAAAAAGTGTCATAATCTCAGCACTTGGGAGGCTGATGAAGGAGGAACACTGGTGGTTTGAGGGCAGCATGGGCTACACAGTGAGTTCTAGGACAGCCTAGGCTACAAAATGAGACTGTCTCAAGGGAAAAAAAAAGTGACCCAAGGGTTGGCAAAATGGTTTGGTGGTTATCACACTTGTCTAACATAAACAATACTCTGGATTCCATTCAACATCACAAAAAAGAAAAAAGGATTAAGAAATGCTTCTGAATTAGAAGCATCCAGAATATGACAGAAGTAAACTCTCCAAGTGAACTGAATCTGCAATATTATTAGTAACTTCAAATAGCAACAATGCAGATTATTCATCATGGCAAGGCCCATTTCATAGCTTTAAATCTACACAGAAATGAAGATTTGATGGAGCTCAGTTTTGCAGAAGGTGAATCAAGGACAAGTCAGAGTCCAGCTGTCTCTTGAAAACAAGAGAATGTTTGGACACTGGTGGAATACTGCCTCCCAGTCAAGGGCAGAACATGGCCTTAGGATAGTAAGAATGATAGTGGATGGGCTTGTGTTTTCATTTCTCACAGACTGGAGCTCTGGGAAAGGGTTTGGTTAGTAACAGAAAAGAAAAACACCCTTTACTTTGAATTTCATTTGATTTATGTTTTGCATGCTGTATTCTTGGCTGACCATGCTCATTAGGTATAAAGAGCAACTCTTAGAATTAAACTTGCCTTTCTCACCTGAGAGTCTGGTCCTTTGCCTTCTACAATTCTGTCGTCCAACAGCAGACCTGAATCTCTACAAAGACTATTATTTTATTACTACATATTTGAGCAGTACTGGAGTTCAAATCTGAATCACACTGTAACAGGGATCAGATCAAGTAATTGGGGTTAAAGCAAAGATATGAGAACAAGTAGGTAGTAAGGGACACAAGAACCCAAACTGAATTCTACAGATTTTACTCTTGTTCTTTAACTGGAACTGCATTTAGCTCCAGAACTAGCTCTGGCTCTCCTCTAACCAGCAAAAACTGTTTGAAGAATTTGCTTCTTCTACTACAAGTACATTTTCAAGAAATGTAGTATCCTTAATGGCGTAAGTAAATTCAACACTTTAAGCGTATAACCACTTTAGAATGTAACTGAGTCATTGCCTGGTTCTTACCCAGAGTGTGCATTAGTTTAATTTACCTTTAGCATAAGAGAGGCTGGGGCTTCTAGAGGTGCACAGGCATCAGAAGAGCCCATCAGTTCTGCCCCGTGCACAATGATCTTCTGACCCACAGTCAGTCTCCCACTCTTTAAGAGGGCCAGGAGTGGAGGATCTAGCTGGGCCTTGACAGCATACCATCCATCTGTAAGTTCGATCACATCTACTTTCTTGGTATCAACACCAGAAGTTTCAGATATACTTGTGCTTGATGAAATGATGTCAGAAACACAGAGAACAAGTGTCTTTGCAGGTGTGTCATCCCTTTCCACTATTTTTTTTATAGCTGATCTTCTGCTGCTGTCAATTTCCACATCATATCTGAAAATGAAATGAAAATGCCAATTTTAGGGATTATACCTCTAGAATTCAATGCAAACAAAGCCATTGAACAACTGAGAATAAAGATTAGTTCATCTGGCTGGAGAGATGGTTCTGCAATTAGGAGAGCTTGCTGAGCAATAATGAGAACCAAAGTTTGGACCCCAGTATCCACATAATAAGCTGGGTGTCCAGCACATGCCTGTAACCGCAGCTCTGAGGTGAGTGGAGACAGGACAATCACTGAGCCTTGCTGGCTTTCAGCCTAGCCATGAAAACATAAACCCCAGGTTCAGAAAGAGACGCTGCCTCAAAGGAATAGGCAAGGAGTGATAGAGGCAGATACCCAACCCCATCTTCTGTCCTCTGTTCACGGAAACAGGAATGTATATCCACACATGCATATAAACACTGACTCTCTCAAATAAGAAAATAGATCTTTAAAAAAGAAATCCCAAAAAGACAGTTTTTTAAAGTTTAGCTAGAAACATACTGTCTTGTATTGTTGAAATATGAAGGCAAAAAAGTGTTTTACTAGCAGTCTTTAAATACTGGATCAAATTAGTACTTCATATGTCCAAAGATTCAAGAGAGGGGAGGGAGAAGAGAGGAGCAGGAGGCATATGAATATGTGACTTTTCATAAGAGGGAGCTGTGGGATGACAGGACAGGATGGGAAGTGTCAGTTAGAACTGGTTTGTGCACCACTTTTGACATGTCCCAGGCAACACAGGACCTTGTATACTGCATTACATGATCACTCACTATAATTCTTTAAACTTGCCTGTACTTTAGTTGAAGCAGCACTCTTTCTGGGTTTAGGCATCTATTAGCAAATTCCTTAGGAAAAGAAAATTCCATAGCTGCCAGTTTCCATATAATCCATCTGTAGTGATTATAGACCCAAACTCTAGAAACAAGCTTTGGATCCACACCTGGAGTGTCACACAGAGCCCTGAACAAATAAATATACAAGAATATAATAAGAAACACATAGAATAATATTGAATTCAACAATGGTGACTATTCTCTATACAGAAGACTTACACTGTGCAATTCCATTCAGTAAACTTGAGTGAACATGTACCTACAGATTAATGTAATTTTAAAAAAATTATTTAACATCTAACAAAAGTAGCATATTAAAAATTCCAGCTAATGAAATGGCCAATACATTAATTTCAAATCATAGTTGTTTCTAGAAAATGAATCTTTTGTTTTTTGAGACAGAGTCTCCCTGTAGCCCCTGTTGGCCTGGTACTTGCTACCTAGACCAGGGTGAACTTAATCTCACAGAGATCTGCCTGCCTCTGCCTCTGGAGTGCTGGGGAGAAGACATGTGCTACCACGCCCAGCTGAAAATGAGATTAAAAAAAATATTTTATTATTTTTATTTTATGTGTATATGTGTATTGCCTGCATGTAGGTAAGTGCACCCGTGTTATGCAATACCCTCAGAGGACAGAAGAGGCTGTCGGATCCCCCAGAACTGGAGTTAGGGACAGTTGTTACCTGCTATGTGGATTTGAACCTGAGTATTCTGCAAGAACAGTCAATGTTCTTATCTGCTGAGCCATCTCCAGCCTCCAAAAATGAGATTCTTAATTTAAAATAATTATAATTATATTTAGATTATTTTCCTTATTAAAGAGAATACTGGGGCTTCCTTGACATCATTTCTTCTCTTCAAATCTCTACCTCCTCCCTCTTTCTCATTTTTACTCTTAGTAAGACAACAGAAGTAATCCGAACACCCATAGGCTTCTCCCTTACATCCACCCCCACAGCACCTGCAACCTTACACTCTGCCTTCCCCTGCCATGTATACTCGCTCTCATCCCTTTTTGCCTAATCAAGACCAGCACCTAGGAAATGACATTCCGTTTTTTTTTTTTTTTTTTGGCCTGAGCCATTTCTCCAGCCCTAAGCTTTTCTCTTTTAAGTTGACTAGCTGAGGTTTTTGCTACAGTAGTGGAAAGCCAACACACATAACAATTTTTCTCTACTGGACAGTACCCATCAGCATTAAAGCTAGTTTATATGTGTCTTCCTTAAAGTACACGTTAGAACACTCTCTGATCCTACTTCCTCCTCAAAGTACTACTCCTTTCTCTGTTTCTCTCTTTGGTAATCCTTGATAGAATCTATTGTATTCCTCTGTCTCATCTTCAATAGCCTATTATCTTCATTCAGTTCAGGCTTTAGTCCCACCAACTCACAGAGCTGTTTTTTAAATTAAAGCTAGTTATGATCTCAATAATATTAAATCCAGTGGTCAACTGTCAGTCCTTACCTTGCAATTCCTTCCCACAGTTATCAGAGCTGGTAATTCTCTATTCCATGAAACTCCACCTTCACTAGGCACACAATACACTGTACTAGTCTGCATCTAGTCCTTTCTGGTCATTTCTTTCAGCCTTTTTTTTTTCATAGCACCCATGTCAGGTGGCTCACAACTGCCTGAAAGTCTCTCTTGGGGATCTGATGCCCTCTTCTGGTCTCCATAAGGCTCCCTCACACGTGGCACACTCAAGACAGACATACAAATGTACATATAAATAAAAATAAACCTTCAAATGCATTTCATATGTCCGCATTTACCTATGAGTTCCAGCCATGCATATCCAACTTATGTCTACCACCATAACTTAAATCAAATATTCAAAGCTTGAACTTTCATAACCTTTCTATCTTTGTTCTTCTCAATTCTGGTAGTTACATGGTAGCTCTATCATTCCAGCTGAAGGCTTAAAATTAAATCTGTTACAGACTAACTTGCAAACACAGGAAAGGAATATGTGACAAGTAGAATCCAGTTTATAAACTGGCTATCAGCTAGGTGCTAAGGTCAGAACATTTGTTATCTTTTACTCTCCTCTCATACTCCACATCCAGTCCCAAGCAAGTCCTCACAGCACTGCCTTCAAATGCACCCAGAGTCCAACTGCTACTATCTAGGACCCAGCCACCATTTCTTATTTGGTTTATTGCAATACTTTCCTAAGTAATTGCTCAGGTTCCATTCTTTCCTTTCCCCACAGGTCAATCCCAATAAGCAGTCAGAGTTGTTTTTCAAAAATAAGTTTGTGCTGAGTGTGGTAGCTTGCACCTATAATTCCAAGCACTTGGGAGGCAGAGGCAGGAGGACCACCAGCCAGCCAGTCAACTAGCTAGCCAGCCAGCCAACCAACCAACTCACCGTACTTTGATCACACCATCTTTTGCTTTAAATCTAAAACTGCTGCTAAAGAATAAAAGTCAAAGTTCTCTGAAGGTCTATGAGTCTTTCTAGCTCATTCTTTTGTGGTATTGAGGATGAAATCCAGGACTTCACACATGCTAGGCAAGTGCTCTACCATTAACCGCACCCTCAGCTCCTATCTCACTACTACTACTCTTCTCCTGCCCACTGCAATCCAGACACACCAATTTCCTTCTTTTTCCTCAAATGCTCCACGCATGCTCACCTGAGAGCCTGCTACACTTGCCTGATAGTCTTGTGCTCACTTTCTGCACCATTCCCAGGTCATTTATTGGATTCCAGTGACTCAGTGAAGTCTTTTGGACTACTTTATTTAAAATTACAATTCTGAGCCAGGCATGATGGCAGATATTTCTAAATCAAGCACTTGGAAGGTGAGGGCAAGATCTCAAATCCCAGCAGTCTTGCTTCCACAGAAAATCCCTCCCTCAAAATAAACAAAATAAAAACCCATAAAAGAAACTATCCCCACAAGGCAACAACCTTCTAGCTTTTGTCTATTTTTATACGTATCACTTTCTAATATACAGTTTACATACTTCTTAAATTTTATTGTTGAGAATGTCATATATGTGTACAATGAAGTATGATCTTAGCAAATCTCCGTTTCTTCACTCCAGCTCCCCCTGTATCTTCCCAACATTACCCCTCCCAACCTTCATGTCTTTTGTTGTTTTTGTTTTGTTTATTTGTTTGATAGCCCACTCAGTTAGAGCTGCCCATATGTGCAAGGGTATGGGGGCATCCACTGGACACAGGAAACCTACCAGTGACCCACATTCTAAAAAAAAAAAGTGATTCTCCAGCTCCCAGCAACCAACTATTCATTGCTAACAGCTCCTCAATAAAGCGGGGGTGGCAGGTCTTTTGGACGGAGATCTTTCTTTTGCTTTGTTATTCCTCATGGCAAACAGAGTACCTGCATGCAGTAGGGTGCTTAATAAATACTTGGTGAATGGTCAAAAAAACACTCTAACTTTATGAACCCTACCTACCTGACTACAGGGTGATCACACAATTTCTATATTATACAGCTTATTTAGTACAAGAAATAATATAACTATTTTATTATGAATCCATCGCAGACGTTTGTCATTTAAGACATGCCCAAGATACGAATATAATGCAAACTAAAAAATTTCAGGGAAATTATCATACTCCCCAAACTGTATTATATAATTTTTAAAAAATAAAGGTACAGGCACAAAGTACTATATCCTTGATAACAAAACATTATGTTTTGGGGCTGAAGAGATGGCTCAGAGGTTAAGAACACTGGCTGCTCTTGCAGAGGACCCAGGTTCAGTTTCCAGTAACCACATGGTGGCTAACGGTCCCGAACTCCAGTTCCAGGGGATCTGACACCCTCTTCTGACTTCTGAGGGCACTGCATGACATGGGTGCACTTACATACATGCAGTCAAAACACTCATACACAAAAAACAAACAAAAAACCCCCAAACCACCCACCCACCCACCTCCTTCAAAAAAAAAACAGGGGTTGAGAGATGGCTCAGTCTTGCAGAAGACCCAGGTTTAGTTCCAGCACCCACATGGTGGCTAACAGTTGTCCATAACTCTAGTTCCATGCATGTACCAATGCATGCATGTGGTATAGTTACATACTTGTAAACAAAGCACACATATACATAAAATAAAATAAAAATTAAAAAAAAACCCTACTTCATTAAGTCCTAGGACAAATCACATTAATTTTTCAAAAGATTTCAACAGAATTTTTAGTGAATCAAAATGTGCTTTAAAACATTTCTAGCCAATGTTTTAGTTTCAGAGCCAGAGAGAAAAAAAGAGGCACTTGTGAGGAATAGAGGATGATGTAACATTTAAAGGTTAAAATAAAATCTTTTTGTACACAGTACCTATAAAATTCTTCTTTTCCAGCCTTTCCATCATTGGAGGGTATTAACCATCCTCCATCAGCCAACTGAATTCCTTTTCCAGCATGTAAATTTTCCTTACCAAAATAATCCTGAATAGAAAACTGAAAACACTCAGCATTTTTGCTGTTAATTTTTATGCATTGTTTAGAAACACCATACATATAGAGCTGTAAAAAACAGAAAAAAATTGATAATGAATTAAAAAAAAATCAAAATTTATCCAGAATTTTTCATTTAAATACTAAAATATTCACTATAAAATATTTAACTGGGCTAGGAGTGTAAGTCAGTGATAAAGTACATGTTTAGCATGTGAAGAGCACTGGGTTTGACAAACCACACCCCCATCAACAAAGATACATACACAGACATGCGCACAGAAAACAGCACAGAACATGAAACTCTTCTATACCAAAATGTATAATGTACTCTGAGTAGCTTATACATTCAAGAGTCGGTTGTGCTTTTTTATTGCCTCTGTGTATATTCTTCCTGCTAAATCTGCCACAATAAAGCACTGTGGGGATAAACGGGATAAATAACTTCTGAAATCTCGAGCAGAAGGCTGTATCTCTTCAGTAGCACATATATTAAGATTAAATAACACCCCGGTAAGCATGGCCCCTGCACAATGAAGGCATGCAAACATATGAAGTGTTCCATATTTTTAACCTATTATTTTGTATGAATAATATTTACTAACAATTTTTTTCTAAAAAGGCAGAGCAGGGCCGGGCGTGGTGGCGCACGCCTTTTATCCCAGCACTCGGGAGGCAGAGGCAGGCAAATCTCTGTGAGTTCAAGGCCAGCCTGGTCTACATAGTGAGTTCCAGGACAGCTGGGGCTACAGGGAGACCCTGTCTCAAAAAGACAGAAAAAAAA